AACATGCATCACTAAAAAATATTAAAATAAAAGCATAATTTTGTATACAAAAGCACAACTTTGTTAAATAGAAGTATTGATTTCGAATTTCAAAAGGATCATAAACATAAAAAATAAAAGATAATGAGTTTAATTTTTAAAATAGATTTTTTTCAATTCATACAATATCGAACTACTAATAACTTTAAAAAATAATGCTAATAGTAGTAATAAATATAATTCTAACTATATTAATGAAAGAATTTTAAAAATAAATAATATCATACAAAGTACTCCATATACTGTAAGATAAAGTAGACAAATAATTATTTGAGATACTCCTTAAATAACTTTGAACGGTTCGGTCCGTGATAATCGGTTTTAAATATTTGTATCATGGTCCCAACACGTTTGATATTGATTCGGTTTCGATTCGTGATGAAAAAATCAATCCCATTTAAAAACACTATAAACGATTCGGTACCATTACGGTCCGGTATGGTACCATGCTGGTTCGGTTTTTTTGCCCACCCCTAATAAGATATCCCCGGAATGCCACATTTAGTCCAGCTTCAGAACTCTGATTTGTACTTCTAAATCATAACACAAGTGTTTCGCTTTCAAATAAACAAATACTCCATAACAAAAAATGATAAGATCCCATACATTTGGTGCATAATCTCCAGGCCACCAAAGAAGTCTCATAATGCTACGGATAACATGTTGTGGCTCAGATTTATGTGAGAAGGACAATATTTTGTAAGTAATTTTACATTTTTATCACGAGTAACAAAGTAGAATAAACAGCCCAGCCCGTGCATCTGCTTACAGATTGTTTTCCTTAGAGCGAAAAATGATTTCCCCAAGTCCTGATTGCAGATTGTCATTTTAAAAATCTTGTAGATGGTTAAGGACACCACAGCAATGTTAAGAAAAAGAGAAGATTTACCCGAGGTTTGTTATGTGTCAAAAACTCTCCGAAAGTTCCCCGCTTAAATTATTCGCCTTCATTTTTCTAGAAAATGAAAACAGTGAGGATAGATGCAAAATGTGAATTCTGAGAAAGTGTTGTGGAAGCCATAAAAGCTTTGTAGGCTCTTTAGTGCTGCAAATGAGCTTGGTATGTCACCCGTGAAGTGATTGAATGAGATATAAGGGTGGGTGCAGTCCGCGACGGTCCGTGATATCAGCGGAACCTATCACACACCGCTCTTATTTAACCGGTTCGGTACAGGTACGGTATGAAACCTAAAACCATTCAGTACCATTCCGTTTTGAACAATATTAATGAATATAATTTCAACAATATTAATGAAAGAATTTTAAAAATAAATAATATCATACAAAGTACTCTACATACGGTAAGATAAAGTAGACAAATAATTATTTGAGATACACTTTATATAACTTTGAACGGTTCGGTCCGTGATAATTAGTTTTAAATATTTGTATCACTGTCCCATCACGTTTGATATTGATTCAGTTTCCATTCGTGATGAAAAAATCAATCCCATTTAAAAACACTATAAACGATTTGGTACCATTACGGTCCGGTATGATACCATGCTGGTTCGGTTTTTTTGCCCACCCCTAATGAAATATCCCCGGAATGCCACATTTAGTTCAGCTTCAGAACTCTGATTTGTACTTCTAAATCATAACACAAGTGTTTCGCTTTCAAAAAAACAAATACTCCATAACAAAAAATGATAAGATCCCATACATTTGCTGCATATTCTCCAAGCCGCCAAAGAAGTATCCTAATGCTATGGATAACATGTTGTGGCTCAGATTTATGTGAGAAGGACAATATTTCGTAAGTAATTTTACATTATTATCACGAGTAACAAAGTAGAATAAACAGCCCAGCCCGTGCATCTGCTTACAGATTGTTTTCCATAGAGTGAAAATGATTGCCCCAAGTCCTGGTTGCAGATTGTCATTTTAAAAATCTTGTAAATGGTTAAGGACTCCACAGCAATGTTAAGAAAAAGAGAAGGTTTACCAGAGGTTTGTTATGTGTCAAAAACTCTCCGAAAGTTCCCCGCTTAAATTATTCGCCTTAATGTTTCTAGAAAATGAAAACAATGAGGATAGATGCAAAATGTGAATTCAGAGAAAGTGTTGTGGAAGCCATAAAAGTTTTGTAGGCTCTTTAGTGCTGCAAATGAGCTTGGTATGTCACCCGTGAAGTGATTGAATGAGATATAGGGGTGGGTGCAGTCCGTGACGGTCCGTGATATCAGCGAAACCTATCACGGACCGCTCTTATTTAAACGGTTCGGTACAGGTACGGTATGAAACCTAAAACCATTCGGTACCATTCTGTTTTGAAACAGAACGGTACAATACCATAACCATGTTCAAACCGTGTCAAAAAAATGAACATGCATCACTAAAAAAAATATTAAAATAAGAGCATAATTTTGTATACAAAAGCACAACTTTGTTAGATAGAAGTATTGATTTCGAATTTCAAAGGATCATAAACATAAAAAAATAAAAGATTACGAGTTTAATTTTTTAAAATAGATTTTTTTTAATTCATACAATACCAAACTACTAATAACTCTAAAAAATAATGGTAATAGTAGTAATAAATATAATTTCAACATTATTAATGAAAGAATTTTAAAAATAAATAATATCATACAAAGTACTCTATATACGGTATGATAAAGTAGACAAACAATTATTTGAGATACTTCTTATATAGCTTTGAACGGTTCGGTCCGTGATAATTTGTTTTAAATATTTGTATCACGGTCCCATCCGGCCGTTTGATATTGATTCGGTTTCGATTCGTGATGAAAAAATCAATCCTATTGAAAAACACTATAAACGATTCGGTACCATTACGTCCTGGTATGATACCATGCTGGTTCGGTTTTTTTGCCCAACCATAATGAGATATCTCCGGAATGCCACATTTAGTCTAGATTCAGAACTCTGATTTGTACTTCTAAATCATAACACAAGTAGTGTTTGGCTTTCAGAAAAAACAAATACTCTATAACAAAAAATGATAAGATCCCATACATCTGCTGCATATTCTCCAAGCCGCCAAAGAAGTCACCTAATACTCCAGATAACATGTTGTGGCTCAGATTTATGTGAGAAGGGCAATATTTCGTAAGTAATTTTACATTTTCATCACGAGTAACAAAGTAGAATAAACAGCGCCCAGCCCGTGCATCTGCTTACAGATTGTTTTCCGTAGAATGAAAATGATTGCCCAAAGTCCTGATTGCAAATTGTCATTTTAAAAATCTTGTATATGGTTAAAGACACCACAGCAATGTTAAGAAAAAGAGAAGATTTACCATAAGTTTGTTATGTGTTAAAAACTCTCCGAAAGTTTCCCGCTTAAATTATTCGCCTTAATGTTTCTGGAAAATGAAAACAGTGAGGATAGTGGCAAAATGTGAATTCAGAGAAAGTTTAATGGAAGCCATAAAAGCTTTGTAGGCTCTTTAGTGCTGCAAATGAGCTTGGTATGTCACCCGTGAAGTGATTGAATGAGATATAGGGGTTGGTGCAGTCCGTGATGGTCCGTGATATCAGCGGAACCTATCACAGACCGCTCTTATTTAAACGGTTCGGTACGTACAGGTACGCTATGAAACCTAAAACCATTCGGTACCATTCCGTTTTGAACAATATTAATGAATATAATTTCAACAATATTAATGAAAGAATTTTAAAAATAAATAATATCATACAAAGTACTCTATATACGCTAAGATAAAGTAGACAAACAATTATTTGAGATACTCCTTATATAACTTTGAACGGTTTGGTCCGTGATAATCAGTTTTAAATAATTGTATCACTGTCCCATCACGTTTGATATTGATTCGGTTTCGATTCGTGATGAAAAAATCAATCCCATTTAAAAACACTATAAACGATTCGGTACCATTACGGTCCGGTATAGTACCATGCTGGTTCGGTATTTTTGCCCACCCCTAATGACTTAATGAGATATCCCCAGAATGCCACATTTTGTCCAGCTTCAGAACTCTGATTTGTACTTCTAAATCATAACACAAGTGTTTCAGTTTCAAAAAAAAACAAATACTCCATAACAAAAAATGATAAGATCCCATACATCTGCTGCATATTCTCCAAGCCGCCAAAGAAGCCTCCTAATGCTCCGGATAACATGTTGTGGCTCAGATTTATGTGAGAAGGATAATATTTCATAAGTAATTTTACATTTTTATCACGAGTAACAAATTAGAATAAACAGCCCAGCCCGTGCATCTGCTTACAGATTTGTTTTCCCTAGAGTGAAAATGATTGCCCAAAGTCCTGATTGCAGATTGTCATTTTAAAAATCTTGTAGATGGTTAAGGACACTACAGCAATGTTAAGAAAAAGAGAAGATTTACTAGAGGTTTGTTATGTGTCAAAAACTTTCCGAAAGTTCCCCGCTTAAATTATTCGCCTTAATGTTTTTCTGGAAAATGAAAACAATGAGGATAGATGCAAAATGTGAATTGAGAAAAAGTTTTGTGGAAGCCATAAAAGCTTTGTAGGCTCTTATTTGAACGGTTCGGTCCGTGATAATTTGTTTTAAATATTTGTATCACGGTCCCATCCGGCCGTTTGATATTGATTCGGTTTCGATTCGTGATGAAAAAATCAATCCTATTGAAAAACACTATAAACGATTCGGTACCATTACGGTTCGGTAACACTAGAAATTAACATTGGCAAATGTCTTGTTTTAGAAACATTCTTCAAACGAACAATTATAGATTACCACATAGCTAGAAAAAATTATAATTTTATCTTTCAAATTAAAATCAATATAATAAAAGGTTAAAAAAGGAATAAATATGAAAAGCTACAAATAAAAAAGGACTACAAAAAAAGGCAATATTTAAAATAAATGAACTAAATGTGAAGAAACATCTATTATAAAAAAATCAATTGTAAAATTTAGTTTCAAAAAAGCATGTTTTTGTTTCAAAAATCTATACGGTGTTGAGATTTTCGAAACTCCTAAACCAATTGGAATTGAGAGTGGCCGGAGAGTATAAAATTAACATGAAATGGCCAGCACCAAATTAAACTGTTCCCATCCCTGCCGTAAACTCTGGGTGCTCATCCGATTGGGTCACTCCGACGACCAGCGCGCATAAGAGACAGATTCCGGCGAAGATCTCCGTCGACCCGGAGACATTACCGACGACTCATCCCAAGCTTTCATCACCTTGTCCGTTGATCACGGTATGAACATACATACATACATGTGTTCTTGATTTGTTTGGGAAAATTCCAATTCTGATTGTTTGGCTTCAAATTGAGTTTCATGATTCGATTGGCTGTGTTATTTTTGTAATGTTTATAGAGTAAATCACACACATAATAAATCCGCCACAAATTCTATCATTTTCTCGTTAATCACTTTTAGTTTATATGAATTGGATTAACATGATGTTGCAAAAAAACAGAATCAATATAAAATGGAAACCGGTGACTGCGGTGATTTGCCGATGGAACTCCTAACTCAGATCTTCATCTGCCTCCCTTTGAAATCATTGATACGCTTGGCTGCTGTGTGCATGTTGGGGAAGCACGGAACAAAACACAACGGAAGCGTATAAAATCTTTTCCCCAAATAAATGAGATTAACAACAAAGCACTATATACTCCAAAAATCAGCAGCAATACCACAAATAAATAGCAACGGAAACAAAATAAAGAACACACGATTTACGTGTGTTTTGTTCCGTGCTTCCCCAACAAAGTGGTATCAGAGCTTGATTATTTTTGGTTGGCTTCTTGTGTTGTTTATGATNATTCGTATTGAGGATTATTTATGCTCTAAAGATTTGCTTGACCCAATTTTGTATAAAGAACGTCCAACAGGTGTTGATGAGAAAGCTTGGACTACCTTGAACCGGAAAACTATTGCATCAATCAGACAATATGTTTCTTTAAGTGTGTTGCAACATGTTGCTAATGAAACTAATGCTTTTGAGATGTGGAAGAAACTTGAATCCATGTACGAGAGGAACAATGCTATGGGAAAAGCTTCTTTGATTAGGAAGCTTGTTAAATTGCAATACAAAGATGGTGGTAGCATTGTGGTTCACATGAATGAATTTCAAGGTGTGGTAAACCAACTAGCCGGAATGAAGATGAAGTTGGAGGATGAACTTCAAGCCTTGTTGTTGCTTTCACTTAGCAACTCTGCTCCGGATGGCAAGATGACTATGGAGATGGTCAAGGCTAGTCTTTTGAATGAAGAGGCTAGGAGGAAAGAATCAGGTTACCCTAGCCAAGCTGAAGCAAATGTGATTTCAGAATCTAGCAGGGGGAGAAGCAAGAGCAGAAATCCTCATTACAGAGACAAGTCCAGGGGGAGATCCAAATCCAGAAAGAGAGATTTCATTTGCCATTATTGTCAGAAGCCGGGTCACATTGAGAGATTCTGCAGAAAGAAGAAGAGAGATATGTCCAAGGAGAGAAAAGATAAAAATGAGAATTCCGAGCAGAAGCCAGAAGAGAAGAACACTACAGCCTTGGCATCTAGTGATGGTGATTTGTTTTTGGGCACCTCCCAAAAGGCCTCATACTAATGGGGTTGGGTGAACCTATATATTTTGGTCCATTTTTACTTCTCCCTCCGGTGTGGGACTTGGAGGAATCCCAACAGTGCAAATCTTGGTTTCACCTCATAAGAAAGGACCATCAATTTGCCTTGAGACATTATCTCACAAGAACTAGACCATCGCCAACTACGTTGATGGACAATGTCGATTACCTCGTTGAGTTTGTAAGCAAGAATGGGCACCACAGGGGCTGCGGCTTCTCAATACATGAAGGAGATAATAAGAAGATGTTGTACATACACTCTTTGACTGAAAACAAAACATTTCGCCCCTTGAAGAGGCTTGAGTTTGGACCTGGATTGGGAGTGGATGCAACGAATATCGTGCACGGTCTAATGTGTTTTCGTGTTATGTCTTCCTCTCGTGGGGTTAAACTATTTCTTTGTAACCCAGCGGTTCGGGAGGTGGTGCCAGTGCCAATTCCCAACAACCTCGAATCAAGGGCTATTTGTATAATTGCGTTCGGGTTCGATCCAATAAATAACAACTACAAGATAGTGGCACTTGAACCGCCTGAACTTATTAGGGGAGGCACTCCCTGGCAGGTAAATCTGTACTCTGTCAGAGATGGTTGTTGGCGTAGTGTATCAGACATAGGCTCCCTTGCCCGGTTTTCTATGTTGTCTACTGACCTTGTTGTGAATGCCAATGGAAGAGTTATCAATTGGTTTGGTGATCTCAAGTCAAATTACAAAGAAAAACGTCTCTTGTCATTCGACATGGTTGATGAGGTTTTTCGGGATGTACCCTTGCCGGAATGTTTGTCCTCCTCCTCTAGAGGTTGGTGTGAAAAAAAACTCTTACCCTCAAGTGGATGCGAGGCTTGCTTTTCTTGCTCCCGTTATAAAAAGGGAGAGAATTTGAATCGCATTGAGGTTTGGGTTCTAAACAGAGATAAAGACCAGCAAATGTTGTGGACCAAACATTCTTTCGCAATGCCAGACGATATGGTTGAGCGGTCTGTACTTGTTTGGATGAATGATAATGAACTCTTGCTTCGCGATTACAAAGAGGGAGCAAATAATAACATAGAGGTGTACCATTATGACTTGTCTGCCGCTCAGCTCAAGCGAACGGGTCGTTTTGGGATGCACAGGACTCCAGATGGTTATGCGGAGAGCTTGATCTCAATCAAGGAGTTAATGTCACCACCGTCCTCATCATATCTTCAGGCCATGAGAGATGAACAAGAGAATGAGAAAGATGAGGTTTCTTTCATACGAGAGGTTGGTAGAAAAAACACCGATGTTCGTTGGTCCTATACTTTTAAGCTAGTCTAGTACTCCCTCCGTCCCAAAAAGTTTGTTACGTTTAGGAAAAACTGCGTCCCGTAAAGTCCGTTACATTTCTATTAAAAAACCACTTTTACCCCTTACTTTTTCATACCCTACCTATCACATCATACCTTTTTTCTAATAATCTACCCATCACATCCTACTTTTACCCATCACATCAAGGTTATTTTTGGAAAGTCAATACCAAAATATCCCTCCTTTAATTTTCCAAAAAGTCAAACCGTCCCTTTTTTTTTTGGACGGAGGGAGTATTTGGCGGAGTTACAGCCTTACAGGCACTTCAGTTTGAATGTTCTTTGTGGTTTTTCTAGAGTTCTTAGGTTGAGGTTTGTGGACTGTGTTATACTCAATGTTCTTATTGTTTTACTATGTTACCTATGGATATTGATTAAGTTTATTCATTAAAAATAAAATATTCCTTCTATCCTATGTCTAAAGATATATTTATCAACACAGCTTTTCAATAAGTTTTATTTATTTACTATTTTCATTTGATAAAATAAAATAGTAATGTTACTGCTTATTTTATATAATTTTTTTATTTATACCGATAGAATGGGTGTCACCGATTTACACAGACTTCTCCCTAATAATCTTTTATTAATTAAAAATCAAAGAGGGTCAATTAATCTCCATAAAATCAAAATGAGAAAAAAAAACTTTGTTTAACCGGCCTACTAATACTTTGGGTCCAATTCACCCTATGGAGCTTAATTGGCTCTAGCCCTACTCTCTTTGTTAACATTTAGCTTATTATTAGGTAGTAAAATTTTTGTGATATACGGAGTATCAAAAGTTTCCTATTTATATCATATTCTTATTACTCCGTAGTTATTACCACAATTCTGATCTTAAGAAAATAATTATTTCAGAAAAATCCAGACATTTATAGTATTTCGTTGGTAAAACTCATGATTTCTACCCCTAATACTCAAGGGATCTTAGAGATCATGGGGACCTAAATATTTTCAAGAAAATCCCTCACAAATGTTCCATCCAATATAATTTATCTCCCATCAATTTTTAGTTTTTATCCGAAATTCCATATATATGTAGCTGAGAAGAAAGCACTCAGAGACCCACATATGTGTATATGGATTGAGTATGAAAATAAACTTGTATCTAAACTAAATGGTGTTAGCATTGATTTGCTAAATCTTGTATTTTGATGTTAACAAACAATATGAGCTAATGTTTGTTTGGAATTTCAAGAATAAGAATCCATTAAGTAATGATTCTCAAAAACAAAATTAAAACACAAAATTAGTCTAAAATATAAGTAGAACTAAATGTAAGATTGTGAATTTATGTTTTTACTTTACTCTTTTTACATCTTCATTATTTTTATTGCTTCCACATTTAACAACAATTTTATTAAACTCAGAAAAAGTTTTTAGACATCTTACTCACCTCTCCTTTAAGGTGTGGGTGTATCAACTAACGAATAAAAGTCATTCTCTTTTTCGACAAAAAAATTCTAAGAAAATTTCCTTCCACTTTTGTTACCAAAAGTTGGAAAATAGAATTGAAATGTTCCTAAAAAACATTTTTTCCGCCAAACACTCCCTAGAATTCATGGAGAAATTCACACATATTCAAACACAAACAGAGATAAAGGCAATGACTCTTTGGGCATTATAAAGTTGAAAAAGAATGAACAAATACTACTCCCTCTATCTTAATTTAAATCTCCTATTACAGTTTACAATGTTCGACTGAAGTTATTTTCAAATCTCTTTACATAAAAATGGTGTAGAATTAAAAAATAAAAATTACATATTTAAAACCTACATCAAAAGGCCTACAAAACTAGTGACGATATTATTATATTATTTTATCAAATAACTAATGAAATAAGAAAAAAGAAAGTGAATGAAGTTTGACCATTTAATATACGGAGTAGCAAACATACAATTTAATTTGAGACGGTGAAAGTATGGAATAAATAACGAAATCAACTTATTATACCAATTCATGCATTAAGAATCACGCATAGCCATGGATTAACCTACTTGTATATCAAAAAAGTGCACACCAAACATGATCATAAGAGTTCATACAACAAAAATGACATGCCCATTCCAATGAGCAAAAAAACAATAAGAATAGCAACAAAAGCATGCACTTCTAAACGATTATAAGGGGTAGGGTGGCAATAGAAGAAGTCCCGAAACATTCACGCGATCAATCATGTTAACCAAGAACACAATGAACCCGAATCATGATTTCGGGTAAATAGCATGCCCGGGTGCGAGTTCTCTTAACCCACAAGGGGCTTCTGCAAAAACATTCTTGATACAACTTGAACTATCAAGAAAAAGTTAGATCCTCACCCTAGCACACAAGAGTAGACAAAGGGATGCATTGCCATTTCTATAACGTCAAAAGAACATGGAAGAAGCATATGTTGTGTTTTGAAATTACTGTCCCACGATGTATATCTAATTGTAACAGTTAAAATAGATAAACTTTGACAATAAATTAAATAAAACTAATACAGTATTAGATATTGCAATAAAAATAAATGGATTAGATTTATCTAGTAAAATATTTAAAAAAACATATTTTATTAAATTAATATACCATATAATTTAAATCTAATTATCGGTAAAAAGTTGATTTTGGTTGACAACAAAAAATTACAGATAAAATTGGACGAACAATCTATGAAGGACAGAGTAATTACTTTCTAAAAACCCTTTCAAATAACAAAACCAGAAAAGGCAACAAAAATCAGTATTAAGAAAACTAGTGTGCACTAAAACTAAAAACAAAAAGCCCTTTTTGGTGGCGTTGGAAGTTCTCAATTCCTAAGATAAGCACTGAAACTTTTTTTAATAAATATAAACATGTTTGCCCAAAATGAAGGGACATAGAAAACATAAAGTTATGATCTTATTACTCGTAAATGATTACCGTGTGTTATAAAGTGTCATTAATTTTGGTGTTAAGTAACTAAAACTTGTTTTTTTACAAGATAATCCCTAAAGAGTATACGGTAAACACAACAATCTTCATGTTCATCCCTCATGCTTATTGCTAAATTTAAATGGGATACACACCCCATACGCTAAAAGCAATACTTTACCTATTATTGCTTCAACTTACTTATGGTGCTATAACTCCAAGAACCAAACCTACACACAATCGGGCATATTTAGTTCGGTTTGAGGTTAATGCGTAAAACCAAAACCAAAACCAAAACCAAAACCAGTTGAATAAAACTCTGAGGCGAGTATTTAATGCACCTCGCTTGAACTCCAGGTTTAACAAGCTTTTCCTACATATTCATATGTAGTTCGGATTGAGGTTAATGCGTAAAACCAAAACCAGTTGAACAAAACTCTCACACGAGTATCAAATGCATGTGTGTGTGTGTGATCACACTCCAGAAGTTCCCACTAAATCCATATTTCATAGCAGAGTACAGCTTCCAGGGCAATCTTTTTTGGCATTCATGTTCAATACCTTGCCCTCCTTGCAAAGCCATTAATGTTTAGTCTTCATCCATTCGCACGGACTTGCTTATGCACAAAATAAGATAAACTTGCAACTTCAACAGTGTTCCATCTTTATTATTTCAAAACCCAAAAGGTACTTAAAAGGGATAATTAACTACAAATGCTGGATATTCAGCAGTGTAAGTCTCTATTAAATATCAACTTTCCTAAGGGCATAAAATTACTGAGGCCTCCAAATCCCAACAAACTAGAAATCCAAAACTCCTTCATAAAACATATCTTGTCATCAAACTGCAGTTATAGAGGAGGCTGTTTTCACTTGCTTGACATCATTCCAATCCAAAATGGTCTGGCTTTCAAGCACGTAGTGCATTCCACGCAGCCTCTTTGTCCATTCGAAATCTGTACGGGGTAACAAATTGACAAGTGACCAAACTGCAAATTCCATTCCTCAACAATGGCTCTCAGGAGGAAGAAACAGAGTATATGACTTCTAGAAACCAGATTTCCATAGGAGCTCACTCAGCTAAAAAGGATGGATAGATGCATAGGCTCATTTTTTGAAACCTTTGTGGGGATGAAGAGGGGTGAGGAAGGTAGGAAGGAAGTGTACCCATTCATAACCTATGCCACTACCTAAGCAGTTTAATGAAAATAGCAAAGACTACAAAATATAAATCACCTCAGTAATAAGATCTAGAACCACCGCCGCCCATATAGCCGCCTCCACCCAGATCACGACTAGAATAGAGTGATGAATAAGAGCTGCCACCCATCTGATTTAAGCAAGAGAAAAAAAGGAGCCATCACAGTCAAGATATCAATATCTAAAGAAATACTCTACCCACCAAAACAAAGAGTCAAGTTTCAAAACCTTTTTGAATTAAACAAAAGAGTAAATCTTTTAGTCAAATTTTATTATTATTTTGTAATTTCACCTCTCCAACAATTTTGAGGAAAAGTATGGGTATTAAGTTGCCATTCATAACTTGACAAAAAAATCTATCATAATCAAATATGACTCTTTTGTTATGGAAGGAGGCACTAATAAGCTTAGAAGACGATGATATAGAATCTTACATCACTGCCATGAGGCATGTAATCACCACCATAGCCTGAAGGATACATTCCACCAACATCACTACCACCATAAGAGCCTGACAAAAGAATTATTACTCAGAATAAACCGAGAGCAAAAAAATGTATATTGATCAACTAACATCCAACAAGTTCTCAACACACCTCTGTCATAACCCATACCCTGGCGACTACTATAAAGTCCATGAGAATCTTGATGAGACATAGAACTTCTGCTTCCACCATATCCAATAGGGGGCCTTCCAGGTCTGTTACAGTGAAATACAAGATTATCAAGCATGGTACAAAAAATAAAAGTTTTATCTGCTTGATTATTTCTTCGTGTGTGTGTATAAAAAGACACACCTGTCACCATAGGAACCCCCGTATTGAGAAGCATTGCGTCCTCCATATTCATAGTCCACACGTGCACGAGAACGGCGAACTCCTGTCTCAACGTATCGAGGAGGAATATCATCCTGCTAGTGCACATTAGAAGAAAAATCAAAAACATTCCCACAAGTAAAAAAATAGTTGTAATAGACCTCAGTGAGAGGACGAAAATATCATACAAAACAACAATAATGATAGTAATAATAGTAATTGTAATAATAATAATAATAATAACTGTAATAAAGAGAATTAAAAGATTAACAAATAAGGTTGATAAGTAAGCATTTTTACAACAAAATATGTAGAACTCAAATGAAAACAAAGTTTGACATTTTAAAGATGGAGTTCAAAAGGGCTAACATGTCAAGCCAATGTTCATATATGATGAGCCCATCATGTTCATATTATGGACATTAATGAAATTGGTTTACATCATTCAGGAACTTAAGTGCGTCTAGCAAACACGTAAGAGCATTCAAATGATTTCAAACCCAAAAATAGGGCAGGAAAATAGGTTTATCAAATCTCATGGTATAAGAACAATTTTATCTAAACGGAGAGTGACAGTAGGGGCAATTCAAGGTGAAAAACTGAGGTCAGTGGTATGAATGTTGGTTTGTCTAAAGCTCGGGACATCGTTGCCACATAAATTTACCCAATAGGCCAATACTCCATAATATATTTAGGTCTGTGCATGTTTTCAGAATTAGTAGAAAGAAATATTAAAATCAAACCATTGCAGCATATGCACGTTTTGAGCCAGATATAGAGTCATATTCCCGAGCACGGCTGTCACGGTACACTGGAGGCAGTCTTTCAAACCTCTGCTCATAGTCATCATCAACATATGCTCTTCTTAATGTGCTCCTAGATGGTCCTCCTGGAAAATCAGCATAGCCAGATCCATGGGGATCATATTCATCTCTATAGGATGAGCGTCTGTCAGAGGGTATTCTGGGAGCATAGTCTATGGTAGCTCTGCTACCATACTCTCTCTTAGAACTATTTCTCGGATATGCATGAGCTGAATGATACAAAGTATTAGTTGAAATTAATGTAACACGTGATTGGGGCAATAGTAAACACAGCATAAAAGTACACCAACCAGGCGGTCTCCTTTCATATGGCCTACTAGGCAGAGGGGCAACAGGTCTGCTCCTGGGTGGGACAGCCATGCTTGCTCTTCTATCTCTGTAACCAGGGGATCGTTTAGCGCTGCGATCAACCAAAGGTGGCCTACGTGGACCAACTCTTCGTCCATGAATGGGGAGATTATGTGGCAATGCGCGGCCCCACGGGACCCTAGGCACCCGTGCTGGCCTGTGGCGAGGCCTCACATCTCCGTGTGAAGCATATTTACCCCCGCCCCTTGAAAGGGGCCTTGATAATCTGGCTCGAACCTTAACCTGAAAGGCGGATGAGCCATTTAAGAAAAAAACATGGTTTGGTATAGGAAAATGCAAGATATACTAAAGATTCAGAAAACAAACCTTACTGTCTCCTTCTCCTAGCACAGCATTATTAATGGATTTCGCACAAGTAACTGCAGCATCATGTGAATCAAAAGTGACAAAACCAAAATCCTTTCTCTTGGCAGATGGCATGTTACGAGCGAGCTCAATCTTTTCTATCTTCCCGTGTTTTTTGAGAAGTTCAGAAATGTGGGCCTCATCCCAATGGGATGAGAGACCATCTATAAAGACCGTCTTGACCTGGATATACAATTATCAGCAGGTAGATTAATCATAGATTAAAAGAAAACTCACAACAATTAAAAACAAAAAATTCCCAAAATACACAGAGTAAGAAAGAATGGATGCATGCAGACCACTGTTAGAGGAAAATAATAAGGGTAGCTCTGGCTAGAATATAATGTTCACTATAACCACATTCATTTTCCCTATATGTCATTTTAGGAACTTGAACTGTAAATATACATTAAATGTCTTCCCACATTTCCTTCAGCAGCTGCATGCCGCACATACCATGCTGGACAAATGAATCAAATCTAAATCACTCCCAAAGTGTGAAGGCATTTCTAATACACAAGGCATATAGTCCTCAGAAAGAAATGTCCCAACTAGAAATGGAACAACTCCGCCTTCTATGAAGTCAAAAGTGTAGACGACAAGTATTTACCTTAGCCATAATTTCATCACCTGGGTCAATGAATGAATCTGCAAAGGAAACCTTGGCAGGCCTGTCAAGTCCAAAAACAACATTTCTCTTCTGAAGACGTTTAAAAGCATCCATGGCATCTGAACGAGAAGAGAATTCTAGGAACGCAAAGCCTCGATTTGTTCCTACGTTATTTGTGTCCTCCACTAGTGTCAAATCATCAATGTTCTCAATGCCATAGTGCTTCAACTTTTCATTCAACTGAAGGTGAAAAGTGCATATGAAAGTAATAGTTGTTAGGCAATTGTGTGAAAAATATTCTTGATGATAACAATAGGAATTGACCTAATCAACTTACAGCTTCCATTGTCCATGTTTTGCATATGTTACCTAAAAAGAGAGTGTCACTGTCTTGACTTGGAGTTACACCACACTGTTTTCCATTAACCTAGAACTTTGGGTATCAGGACAATATTCTTCATAAATAACGTCAAATCAGTTACCTCAAGAATAACAGATTCAGGAAAATACCACTGGATTTTTTAGCTCTGTACAAGCACGCTTGGCTTGTTCTACTGTTGCAAATCGCAGAAAAGCAAATCCCTTATTCTTCTTGGTCTGAGGGTTCATCATAAGCCTCACTTCGGTAATCTCACCAACTTGACTAAAGACCTTTCTAAGATCATCTTCGGTAGCATCTTTGTCCAAGCCACCAATAAAAATTTCAAACTCCTTACGTTTGCGTCTTTCTTTGACCATTTCATGATGTTCTTCCTCCTCAGCTGCATCAGCCATTTCAGCGTGTTCCTCACCATCTTGTTTTTCATCTTCCTCTCCCTCAAGGTCCTCATTGACATCTTCAACCTCCTCCTCAACCATATCGCCTTCACCCTCATCACAAACATATTCCTCCTCATTATCTTCCATCTCATCACCCTCTTCTAGATCGTCATCATGTTCACTTCCCCTTTCATCATAATCAGGACCAACATACTCTTCAGTTTCATATTCAGGATCATTGTCCTCCAAATCTAACTTTTCACCTTTCTCAAACTCATCAACAGACTCTTTTGGTTCAAACTCCTCTGCCATGGAAAAAATATATACATCCAGGACAGTCAACAGATTGAAACATACAAATCCTTAGTGACAAGATAATTACATGCTTAGCCACCTTTTGCGCTTTAAAAAGTTTGTGCATCTAAACAAATAAGCCAACATGAGCTAAAGGTCGCAACAATGCTTGACTATGAGTTTCAAAGACAGCTACTAGTATATCAATGTAAGACTTGTGCATACAGCTTATTTACCAAAAGTGGCTCATACTACAGTGTATGACGTGTTAGGATGTATCTTATTTTTCTATCCATAGGGTGGTTATATTATTCAGAGGACCGTAAAATCATAATAACATTAATTTCTCAAGCCTGGAACAACCCATTGGCACAGGTGAACAGAAACTACCATGGAAAAGAATTGGGCTTTAAATAACAATTTCACGTCGCAATCTGATAAGTGAAGTCTATGGCTCGTGCACAAAAAATAAGGTTGTTTTAAATTATATCAAGTAAATAGGCAAAAATCAAACAAAGACCTCAGCTTTCACCAAATTGACAAAACTAAATGAGACACATAGCTCAAATATCCAAAAGATGAGACCCACACTCCCACAGAAATAATCCAAATGCAGGATTCAGCATAAAGTAACCAGAATTGAGAATCACAAATAAATTATAAAGAATATTGCTTACTCATATTAGAGGGCCCGCATGCCTCAAAGTTTTGTTCCTCCTCGGGATCCTCATCAGTCCCAAGAGGTGATGACTTCTGCTCAATGGGCTGAGTGTTTTCTTCAGTCTTTGCCGCCTCTTCAAGCTCCACCGTTGTTTTTTCCTCCGTTTCTTTTACTTGGTCTTCCTTCAAAAGTTTGCCAGGCGGTTGTGGCTGGACTTTGGATGCAGCCCGAGTGACACGAGACTTTCTGTTCATTCCGGGACCAGCTTGCGGCTTTTTTGCTTTGGGGGGCATAGTAGTTTTACGTGAATAATGATTAAAACTTCTGTAAGCCAAAAACCACCCAATAAGATTTGGATTGCAGATTTGCATAACTGTGTATCAATCTATTCTATCCATATATATATTAACACATTAACACAGATTCCCTGCCAATTATCCAGTAAAGAAGATCCCATGCTGATTGCTAAAGCATCACTACAATTGTTTATAGTGTGTTCTACGTTTTTTTCATGAAGGTGCATTTGGTATAGATTGAATCAAGGTCAGTTGGGAAGTGGAGAGTGGAGATAGGGGCTGTTTCAAATTCTGGCTAAAATCAATTTTTTATTCTGCACGTCAAAATTAAATTTTTACAACTAACTTACAGCTTGATTCTCTAAAATCAGCAAAAGAATTAAACAGCTGATTCTAAAGGATCGGCCAGAAATTGAATCCGGGCTAAATGCACCCTTAGGTGTGTTTCAAACCAAAACTCCAAAACATAGCACTCCATAATAATTAAAGCTGTTTTGTAGTACCCAAAAGAGACAATTTTGGCTAACACTCATTTTTTAAGTCCTTTTACACAAGCAGAAGAAAGAACTCAAAGAAGCAGTGTATAGCTCTTTCACTTTCCCAACATCAATCAACCAACAGGATTGACAATCAATTTCACGCTCACAGGTCAAAAAAAAAACGAATCTTGGAAATCAACATGGACAAAAAATATTAAGAGAGATTAGAGAAACATAAAAGGGAATAAGAAATTTTTTATACCGGTGGGAGTTCGATGAAAGCAGACTAGATACGTTCGTCCAATTCGATTTCCGTTATCGAAGGACAGGGTGAGAATGGTGAGAGCTACGACTCCAAATCCCTGAATACTGGCAATTGACGAAGGACACGCGGTCGAACGAGGGCAGAAAAGGCCGTATCGCGCAGAGATGACCTAAGGGAGAAGGGTTGGGGACAGAAGGCGATCGCCAATTGAGAGCGTTGGTGCGGCTATGATTAGAAGCAATTGCGGATTGAGAGTGATTGGGTCATTTGGACTCCAATGTGGGCTGGAGCCTGGAGGATTGTATATTAAATAAGAAGTATACTCGTATGTGTTACTTAGGGCCCATTTGGTGAAACATTGAAAAAAACAAATTTGATATCTTCAGATATCACAAATTATATGAATAGAGAGTTTTGATATCTACCGAATTTGAGATGAATCAATGTGTAGATTTGATGTTTTTCTCATCTGTCGACCATCTCCCGTCACCGGCTACCATTACCACCACCAACTGCTATGTTGTCAATGAATCTCACTAATCACAAATAAAATTATGATTTTAATTCTTTTCAAACAACTTCATTTCAGATTTTGAAAATCATATCCTAGATTTCAAAATGCATATCATATCATGTCTCCAAAGTTCACCAAACAGATCCTTAGTTCAACAAGATTATGGTAACACCCATTTTAAATATCATAGTATGACATCAGTCAAGTTGAAAACATTTACGATATTTTGTTTTAAAAAATGATGATTAATATTCCTATTAATCTACCCGTTAAACCCCTCCATCTGAGCTATACCCAAACCCACCCTGTCAATTGAACCCCTAAAAATTAGGCGACTTTGGGGTAAAATATTATACTCCCTTCGTCCCCCTAAGATGTTCTCATTTTGACTTTTGGTGGTTTTTAAGGAGAGTTGAAAAAAGGTGAAAGTTTACCATAATACCCTTAATGAATTAAAAAATGGGTGAAGTGTATTAAATGAGGTGAGTGAGGTGTAATAAATAAAGTAAGTGGGGGTAGTTGTGTTATTTTAATAAGAAAACTCCCTAAATAGGAGTAAAACATATATCATATCATCAAAATAGGAGCTCAAAGTTAAACTCCCCTAAATAGGAGTGATTAATCAAGTAATAAGTGATGTTATCCCTTCTATCCAAAGTCCTACCTGCACCATATTCAATCAATTTTTATTGACCGCACAAGAAGAGAAAATTGGTCTCTTCCTTTTATCTCTACTTAGCTTTTTCTCCGCACCATCGCACCCACTGCCCTAGCTACCACCGTTGTCGACCCTCTGTCACGATTACCGCCTCTTTCTTCCGCCATCTCCCCTCCCCCTCGTTGCCCTTCCTCTTCCAATCGCATATAACTTTTGGATTGTGTTTATTGTTTAGGGCTTTATTATTGCTAAAGAAGCTCTAGCTATCAGCTTCCTCTGTGTTTCTCAATTAATCTATGTATGCCAAAATCTCTCCTCTTGTTCGGTCCAGCGGAGAAACGCCTCTTTTCTCCTGACTTTTTTGATGCGTTTGAGGCCCAAAAGGTATTCGACGAAATTCTCCTTCCAAAAACCCTTATTTTTTCTTTGTGATTTTTTACCTTTTTTGGATTCTAATTATTGATAGCGAGTGCTATATGCAGTGCATCATCTACTAGTTGTGTGCTGTTTTGTGTATGTTTTAGCTATAAATTTAGCAAACCAAAAATACTTCTTTGTCCCCTTAAAATGACTTTTTTTTTTAATTTTTGATTATTGATTTTGAATGCACATATCGATTAAAAAAAGCTTTTAGACTATGGGCTATTTATCTTTATGTGACACTGTCAATTTGCATCTAAAACATTACATATGGGAATTTGTGACATTATGCATTATCATTTGTGACACTATGTGGTAATGTTTGACATTATGTTTTTTAACATTGTATTTGGTAGCTAATGTGTCACTGTGATATCAACAATGCAAATTGTGGTTATGGTGTTGGAGACCGTGGTAGAGAGCCGTGATGTCTGCAGTAAAGGCGAAAAATCAACAACGAGAATGGTGGATTTTGGTATTCAAAAAAACTTTTGGTTCTCTTCCCAAATTAGAATATGAAACAAGAGGCCTATCATTCCTTGTGCGACCCAAATACTACTTAATTCCACGAACTTTTTCTCTATGCAGGCTAACAAAGGCTTCTCTCAAAAGAAAGAAAACCCCATAAAAGGCAAAAATCATCGGTTGGAACTTGAAAATTATGCAAAGATGACAAAGTAAGGCATCGAAATAGTCTGATGCTAACATATAATTAACATGTGTGATATGTAGCATTATACAATGGCATATCTATCATTATACATTGCCAAGTGTGGCATTATACATTTTCATGTTTGGTATTATTCCTTTGTTTAAAACTATGCATTCACATGTATCCTTTATATGTCACTGTGTAAGTCTCGTCTCGATAGTGGCTTCTCTACTATATCATTCTTTTGTATATATTTGAATAATTTATAAATTCAAACTTTATTTATTTTATTTTCTTCGCCTTCATTTGTAACCTTACAAATGATTTATGGTAACAAATCATGCCTTTCTTTCTCAAACAATATTCTTTCCTCGTTTTCACATTTTCTATAGAACTTTAATTTCAAGTTGACACTCAAGATAAAATCAATTACCATTTTCATCAAATTACAAGTTTAAATTACAACCAAACAAATACAATCCAACCGCCAAAGCCCAGTCAAACTTTTTGACTCAATTCATTCAAATACGAAGGAAACAATTTTCGGAACTCCTAAAATCTTTCAGAAAACCCATTTACCCAGCAACATCATTCCTCTTTCCACCGCATTGACCACCGGCCAGGGGGAATTACGCCGCGATAGAAGGCAAAAAACACCACAGTACTAGCGTCTGCATCATTGGAAGTGGTCGCGCTGCCCACACCACCGCCATCTATGTCGCGAGGGGTTTTATCGCTTTGTTTATGGACATTAAGAAATGGACGAGAAGGGAGAGTGTGTGAGAGAAGATTAGATTAATTAAATTAATTACTCCTATTTAGAGGAGTTTAAGTTTCAACTTCCATTTTGGGAATATGTCATATCTTTTACTCTTAGTTTGGTCCTTATCCCTATTTTAATTGTTAAAAAATGAAATGAGAAGATTTATTGTGGACAAGAAAAAAGAGCTATTGAGAAGATCTATGGGGGACGGAGGAAGTATTTGACATCAACATCAACTATTCCATAATTTTGAGGGGACCAATTGATGAGGGTGAGGCCGTGAGAATATATTTGGAACGACCTGAGGTTGGAGTTCACCGGGATCACTTATTCAGCTGATTCGTTGCCCAAGAGCTTTAAATCATAAGCCAATCGATTTAACCAAAAAACCGACACTTTGAGCATGTCAAACTGAAATATAATAAGTATAGGGATTTGGGTGTTAAATAATCACATACTCCCTATATTACAATAAAGAAAAACTTACACGAATACTCCGAGAAATCTTTCCAACAATTGCTCTCTTTTTACAAAAACACTCTACTCGCCACCTCACTTACACAATCATATTGTAGGATATCTAAATGGATTTTTAGAGTAATGATTTAAAAAGTAAATGACCGTTTTTAGTTTTAGTAAAAAACTAAATCACATATTTTCCCTCCAATTTAAATATCAATCATGTCTCACAAAATAGATTTTTTTAAGTTGCAAGAAATTAAAACACAAACAAAGAACGGCATTTGTTAGTAGATTTTAAATATCGTTGGACAATTTTTTCTTGGGAGAAGAGACGATAAGTACTCTGTAGCTAATAAAATGTGGAGTATTATTTTTCTTGTTTTTCTAAAAACAAATTTGATGAAGAGTACATCATCTTTTTTCTCAAAATTTTTCATTGAAAATATCGAATATGTGTGATTCTAATTTAATACATATAGAAGATCAAAAAAAAAAAAATTTGTAATACAAGACAATATTTGCTTGAAAACGCCCTAGTTTAATTTCAAAAGACTATATATATTTAAGATGTAGAAATTAATTACCGTTAAGTGAGTAATATAATTTAGCGTGTATAGAGCTATTGTATTAGACGATGATGTCCCAATTCAAGTGACCGAATTTTATCATTGAAAACTTAATTATATCACTAATGATGACTTTTTTTATAATTAGAATAGAAACAATTCATGATTCCAATAAAATATCAATATCTAATATCATTTTTATTTAATTTGAAATTAAAGTTTATTAATTTTGATTAAAAAAAATAGACAAATACTTAGTGACGAAGACATTGTATATATGGTTATAGGCATGCATAGCTCATTAGCTAGGCAGTATAATGAATTTGCATATAGGATGAATCCTTGTAATTATAAAGTAATTAAACAATTAAATTAATGGAGCCATTATAAACTGATATATAGGACGATAGATAGATGGAGGCACTGATAATTAACTAACTAACTAGACTAACTAACTAATTAATAAAGATACGCTAGCTGTTTTAATTGCGACTAATAAATACGGAGTAAATAAATAAATAAAAGCAGGGCCGGGCCGGGCTGGGCTTATGGATCATGGATGGACAGAGGATCAGAATCAGATGGATGGGGTGCAGCAGCAGGTTCATCATCATCCTGCAGGCCTGGAGTGAAGGGAATACCGGTTTTGGGCAGCCAGGAGTTGCCGTCGATGAATGCGGCGACGGTGAACTTTGAAGGGTCAAAGCCATCCCTAATGTAGCCTTTCCAGGGGACCCGTCCGTCGGTGGCCGCCCCGTCCCCGGAGTTTTGGTACTCGGCGTAGTAGACCGTGTTATACGTATCGTCTGGGGCACCGGGCCACTTCGTCCATCCAGCGGGGTTCAGGAAGCCGCCTTCAATGTTAGTCCTCATGATGACGGTGCGGGCGTACTTCTTCCACGGGCGTCCCAAGTACGACTCTATGCTCCCATGGGCCGCCTCCTCCTCCGCCATCGCCCGGAGGAGCTCCGGCGTGGCCGAGATCTGGCAACGGTGGATGCATATCCCGCCTCCGCTGATGTCGTCCGGCACATCCCTGCCATCGGCCGTGATGGTGTTGGTGGTCTTGGGGCGGGGGTCGCGGACGTGGATGCCGCAGTCTTGGAGGACCACTCTGCCGCTCTGGGAGAAGATGAAGTCGATGGTGCCGTAGATCTGGCACTCCTTGTAGAACTGGTTCCCCTTTTCTGGGTAGAGCGTGTCTTGGTACCCTTCGAAGCTGCACTTGTAGAAGGCGACGTGGTTGGCGCTCGCCCTCATCGCCACCGCCTGCTCCTTCTGCATGCCCGCCGTGTTCCGCACCGTCATATATGCACCGATGAACTCTACTCCCTCCACAACTGCATTGAGTATATATTATTAGAGTATCGATCATTATGTATGTATATATATATATGATGGACTAGCTAGTAGTGTACAGCTAGCTGCGCTATATAGTACTTCCTCCGTCCCAAAAAGATTTACACCTTTCAAAAAAATTGTGTCCCACAATCTCCTACTCATTTCTATTAAAAAACCACTTTTACCCCTTACTTTTTCAAACCTACCTATCACATCATACATTTTTCCTAATAATCTACACATCACATCCTACTTTTACCTATCACATCAAGGGTATTTTTGGAAAGTCAACACAAAATTATCCCTTCCTTAATTTCTACTTTAGTCAAAATGGGTAACACTTTATGGGACGGAGGGAGTATTACTTACTGAGGGTGGCGGTGTCAGAGGTGGTGGGGCCGTCAGCACGATTGCGCTTTCCGGTGATGATGGTGTTCCCGATGCCATCTCCGAACAAGGTGACGTTGCTCCTGCTGATGGTGACGTACTCTTCGTACGTCCCGGCCATGACGTGAATCCCGAATGGAGCGGGCGGCGGCGGGGCTGTCGCCAGAGCTTCGGCTATGGAGGGATTTGGTGACACCACAACATCCGCCTTAAAGGTCACATCATTAGCAGCAGCAGCAGCAGCAGCTCCTCCTCCTTGGGACGATGATGATCCCACGGCGGCGGCGGCGACCACGTTTGACGATGGTGACGATGAGGACATCATTGTAGCTAGGCAGGCTGTTTATTATAGGAGTAGTATGTATGTGAGAATTGGGATTGGATGCTTTGTATGTATGTTGATTGGGTTGCAGTAGAAGTACGTATTTGATGATATGGTTTCTCCCATCCCATGCATGCATGCATCCCCTCTATTTATACTGCATGGATTGGATTGTATGTAAATTAAAGTACCCTATATTGTCATCCATGCATGCATGCTTATCCCTTTTTTACTTTACTAATTTCAATTCGTCCCATCCAAAAGTAATTATAATTTCCTTTTCTAAAGTAACGCTTTCCAAATCCCTACATATCGTCATCTTCCGAGAAGTGATACTTAAGTTAATTAAAGTAGTAATGTATATATGAATCTTGGAGGATTCGGATGTGTTCTTATTGGATTACTTTCTACTACCTCCGTCCCGTGAAACATGGGACATTTGCTTTTTAGGAGGGATTTAAGGGAGTATATTTTGGTATTGAATTTCCAAAAATGTCCTTTGATGTGATGGGTAAAAATATGATTTGATGGATAGATTATTAGTAAAAAGGTATGATGTGATAGTTAGGGTATGAAAAAGTAAGGGGTAAAAGTGACTTTTTAATAGAAATGAGAAGTGTTTTGTGGGACGGATAAAAAAAGAAATGAGAAATATTTCATGGGACGGAGGTACTATATTATTATTGGTTTTACCGTACTCTGTCTAATTCTACATCCCAAATTCTACTTTAATCTATCCATATTTATTTATACACGTACTCTATCCAAAAGTTAAAATTTCCTTTTCTAAAACACCTTCCAAATCCCTATGTATCCTCATCCGAGTAAAAAGTTAATTAGAGTAGTAATATATTCTTATTGGATTACTTATTGGATTACTTTCTATATTAATATTGGATTGACGCACCCCGTATAATTCTACATCCCAAATTCATTATTTTAACTTATCCAATTTATTAATATAAAGAAATTTACTAAAGAAATATTTGCACTAAATAGAACTAAAACATAATGACTATTCTTAAATAAAAGGAAAAATTATTCAAAATAATTTCAACTTTACCCCGTCTTTCAAAAATAATCTCAACTTTCACTGTGATGCATAATAATCCCAACTTTACTGAAATTTGCCAGTTTTGGATTACCATTAAGTTTCTAACGGAGAGTTAACGGAAATGCCCGTTTTAAGGCTTAAGCAACAAAATGAAAGTTGGGTTTATTTTTTAGTCTTAGTTTAAAAAATAAGAATAATAGATATAAAAAATGAAAAAATGAGAAATGTAACTAAAATGATACAAAAAATGAGAAATGTAACTAAAATTATTTGATTAATTTTGTATGGTTTTAGTTATTTTTCTCATTTTCATTATTTCTTATATCTATTTTTTTCTAAGGTAAGAATAATTTTTAAAAAAGAAAAAGAACTGGAGGTTGAAAGTAATTCAACAAATTTAAATGAAAAATTTTTTAAAAAATGAAAAAATAATGAAAATTCATAAAAAATAATCCCAACTTTCATTTTGTTGCCTAAAATGAGCATTTTCGTTAACCCTCCGTTAGAAATTTAACGGGGACCTAAAACTGGCAAATTTCAATAAAATTGGGATTATTATGCATCACAGTGAAAGGTATGATTATTTTTGAAAAATTGGGTAAAGTTGGGATTATCTTGAGTAATTTTTCCTAAATAAAATTATATATGTTTTTTCCAATGTAACATACATTTTTAGTCATTATCGATTAGTAATTATTTATGTAAATGTTCGTCATCATTGAACGTTATTCCTTTTTTTGGATATTATTAAGTGCTATTTATAAAAATTAAAATAATTTAAGTACTATTTATGGAAATAACTTAAGTTTTATTGCTATTTAGTACAAATATTTCTTTAATCTATCCATATTTATTTATACACGTGCTCAATCCTTAATTTTATTTCCACGCCTCCAGAGTCTCTAATCCTTTCCAAGTTTTGACTTAAATAAATACTAAACAAAAATAAGGAAAGTGTATTTTGTTAAACGAAAGGATTTTATAGAACATGGAGAGTAATGATCTTACACACTATAACCACAAATTGTAAAAATAATATACTCCGTATTTATTAGCTAATTATAAAGTACTTCATATATTTAATGTACAATAATTGAGATTATTTTAAGATGTTTTGATATAGAGTATATTAAATTTTTATAACATTTAGTTAAAATAAAGTTAATTCCACAAACGGTCTTAATTAAAAAAGTTTTTCCTTAGCTTTTAGTCCCAAATAGGGATGGGAGAAACTTGTTCCCTCTTGGTTATCAAAGCTCTAATATTAAAATTAAAGTTCAAGATTGTGGTTATTGCTTAAGAAATATTGTTTCTACTCTGACACCTCCCCACACCTAGGCGTATGAGAAAATGGTCAAATCTTACCCGACATTCTATAAAGTTTACTTAATTAGCCGACTGAAATTTTAAAATGGTATCATAGCCACATTCGGTTCGCTATAAGTGAACTTCCCCATCCATCCATGCATCATTCGGAGTGTGCTTCCTACCGCTCAAACTAAGAGAGAAGTGGTAACATCTCTCTCCGTCCCTAAAAGAATTTCTCCATTCGAACGATCGATGTGCAGAATTCGCGGACTTTAAAAATGTTTTACTTATAAGTTACTCCGTAGTATAATAAAAAATACTATAGTAAAATTTACTCCTCCGTCTCTTAGTATTTGTCTACTTTTGAGTTTTTTCAATCAAAATTGGTTTTGACCTACCTCACATTAAATAAAAATGATATAATTAGATATTGATAACAAATATTTTTGAAATATTATTTTATCTAATTAATATAAAATATATATTTCATTTATTTATAGGTCAAAAGTTGAAAAAGGTTGATCGAAAAAATCAAATACTCAAAGACGGGATAGTATTAATATTTAAAAACTACATTAAAAATTCTACAAAACAAACTGAATGTATTGTGTACTGAACATTTGAACCTAACTCGCATATACATTTCAATCCCTCCCTATGTACCCTTGGATTAGAAAACAATTTTCTGTTTTTTGAGTTCGCATAACAAAGTGAGCACTTGACACCACTTATTACGGAGTAATTCGGATTACTAGGCATTATAATGGAGTAACATAAGGTTGCGTTCCGTTCACCTGATCTGAATTTTTAAAGATTCAATTAGTCTAATCTGATTTAATCTGATATGATTATAATGAGAATAAATAATAAGCAGAAAAAATAAATAAAACGAAATGTTGTCTAAGACCACTTGAATTGAATCAGGGGTACAATGGCAATGAAAAGTATAAAGGCGAGATAGATTGAGATGGAAATGCTTTTTGTAGACCAAATTTTGGAACCCCATTTGGCCATTCCAAACACACAATTCTTTATCCATCGATCCTTTGAGTATACCAAATTTTATAATTTGAAATTTCAACATAGTAAATTAACACAAAACTTATTTCTTGTAAATTTCAATAGTGTAAATTAACGATTCAGAAATACATGAGACAAATATGATATCGATACATAACAAGAAGCTACACGGGGCAAAACAAAACACTCTCATAACGCCTACTTAAAGCAGATCTCATTATACCTTGGATGGCCAAGATGCTTGAGCTGACATGATTATTCCCACAATAACACCAAAGAGTCCCAATGCGCTGCCGAAAATCTCAATCACCAGAATCTTAACAAAAAGGGTCGAGTTTTGGGCATCTGATAAAGCACAACTGCTCCCAATCACTCCAACGCACAACCTTCGTTACAAAACAAGACAAGAAATAGAATGAATAAATGTAGGGGGGAAATGAAACGAGGATGGAAGCACATAAATGAAAAGGAGAAAAATGCATTCAGGCCTACCCGCACACAAGATTGGCAAAGCCAACTATTATCCCTGAGGCGAAAATTGCATAACCAGCTGTAAGGGATTCTGGTGCATAGATCTGGGATGCAGGAACATTCTCAAGCTTTGTTTGGAGAATGATAGCCACAATGACACCATATATAGCAACCGCCTCACAGAAAATGACACTACAAAGGGAAGAGTTAAAATTATACGGAGTATCAGATAAAAATGGTGTGTTCTCATTTGTGGTAATTATGTCATATATGATATATCACAAGTAATACTACAATCTTACTACTATCTTCTTGAAGTAATATTTTAAGTTTCCAATATCAAACGGCTAACACCACTTGCTAACCTCCGATATCATAATATTTCACACATTACTGTTGTTACAGCAAAAATATAATGAATTTTTTTTATTCATACACAACAAATGAAAGCCTCTCTGCTTGATTGAGGGTAGAAATAAAATTTGCACACACATACACCCTCAATAGGCCCTACTTTTGTGAGACTTAACTGGGTATGTTGTTGTTGTTTAAACAAAAAAATGAAAACTACTACGTCTTACAGAAACTTCAAGCATAATAATACAATCATAGAATAGGAAGTTGGATAGTTTCTTCTAGTCATGAACTATGTCTCTTTTATAAAAGTTTCTTATCGACCCTTTAGCAAATAGCAACACAACCGAGACATAAGATAGAACTTTCAAGATTCAAAGAACAAATGTACAAAACATTAAACTTTCGTTGCATATCAAAGTTGATCAAAAGAAAGTATTCCTTCAATGAGATTTTTCTAGTAGTTCATATGTGAGGAAACCCTTTTTCTACTTGTCTATGAACAAAAATATACCGCCATTAACACCAGAAGAAACAAAGATCATTGGCCAAAAAAGAGAAAACAGAAACAGAGCATAAAATAAAACACAATTGACTATGATCATCATACTGATGATTATCTGTTTGAATAATCCATTTCAATTCAACGAAAGAAATTTGTTCGTTCATCTTCATGGACCTGTCTCTTAGGACACAATACTTTTAAATGTGAATTCGCAGTTTTCTGTGATCATGAAGGTGAACTAATTCAAATAGAAGCTAACTATTAGCTAACCTAGTGTAGTGACAAACATTGGACAAGTTTGGATCTTCTATGATTGTTCCAAACATACTCCCATCAAACTAAGACTCAGAACATGATTTATCGTACGAATCGAAAACTCGAATGTGCTTTCAACTTCATTGTACAAGGTATATCGCCGGGTACTTCTACTAGAACATGAAACCCTTTCAAACTTAATCTTCTAATGAGGGGAAACAGAATGCATCCATTGAAACAGAAAAGGAGATACACTTACCTGATGAGATTTTTGGAGGTAATGCGAGGAGCTTTGATGGCAGCACCGATCAAACTACTTCCGGTTATATAGATCCCCCTAGATTGAAAATTCACAATTCAATTGAGAAGTTTGAAAGGGGCCGGCGTCCAGAAATCGATGAATCTCGCAAAAGAGCAAAAAAGAAGAGGAAGCTTACCAAGCAGCTCCTAAAACTGAGACGCCGATGGAGATGGCAATTCCGATCGCGGAAAAGGTGTAGGGAGAGATCTGCGTCAGAGCTCGCGACCATGAACTTGAATCCCCAGCCATGATGAAGCTCGCGACCGTGAAGCAACAATGGTGGGTACGCTTTTTATGGTTCCCGTTTTACCCAAAAGGCCAAAGCCAACCGGAATGTAAATTGGATTTGTGTTCGGTTTGGTTTTTGCTAACAAATATCCTTAAATCTATTCGGTTTGGTTTAGTGTGGTTTAAGTTTCTATTTTTTTACCTTTTGGATTATTAAAAAAACCAAATTTTAAAATAAAATTCTTTTGTGATCTTCAAACTAATTTTATTTTACATGTAAATCTTAAGATGATAAGAGCACGACTCAAAATTAAAATAACAAAATCAAAAATGCTTTCATTTTTGGGTTGTTCGACAATTATCTTCCTTTTTCCTTTTAAGAACACAAATATGTAGTCTATATCAATTATTGTTCTTCTACACAGACCATAACTATTCACATTTTCCTTAATTACGAGTTGTGCTAAGTCAAATCAGAAAGATAGTTTCGAGATTGAGGGAATGACACAAAATAAAGAGTAACAACAAAGCAAACTACTAATCTAAAACGTGAACATAAGCTCGGTAAATCAGGTACTGTTAGTTGTACAACTTCCAAAACATAGGGCCCAAAATGTAAAATTGGGTTTCACATCTAGATCATTGAAACAAAGAATTGATTTATTGGTTTTGGATACAATTCGACAAGGCTAGAGGTTTGAGCCAAGGATAATCGGGATTGAGGCTCGAATCGCAGAAAAAAATACCCATATGTGGAAGAACGGGAACAATCAATCCTCGAACAGCCAAAGTAAAGTTATGGAGTGCAATATTGATCTAGTTCATTATCAACCTGAAAAAGGCTAAAATATTGTAAACAATGACTCTTTCATCACCCTCTTCTAGATCGTCATCATCTTCATCTGCCCATTAAAAATCAGCACCAACATATTTTTCTATCCAACATGACCTTGGGGTGTATCTTATTTTTCTATCCAGAGAGGGGTTTTATTGTTCAGGGGACTGCAAAATCATAATAACATAAATTTCTCAAGTCTGAAACAACCCATTGGCACAAGAGAACAGACACTACCATGGAAAAGATTGGCGATTTAAATAACAATCCCACATCCCATTCTGAGGTCAGTGGCTCAGTGCACAAAAAAAAAAAAAGTGTGCTGTTTTGAATTATATCAAGTATATATGCAGAAATCAAACACAGACCTCTCAGCTTTCACCAAATCAAATACCCAAAAGATGACACCCACAGAAAGACACGATGGCAATCCTAAATAGCTCAAGTAAGAAAGACGTGACAATGCATTTGCTTCAAAATAGAAATAGCCTCTAATGCATTCTCACCCCTTATTCCCTTAACGTATTCCAACAGCCACTAATGCAAATTGTGAATATTTCTGGACAGACCAAAAAGGAAAATGGGAAGAACATTTCGAGACAGAAGGAGTAGTAACCAAGAAGGCAACAATGACCAAGCCAATTGCCCAAGTAGTCAATACCTTATTAATCAAATAACAACAAACGAAATGGATGCATAGATTCAAGATCAAATACTACATATTTCTCACTCCTTGTGATGCAGTTAAGATCCTTTAAATGTTTTATAAAACACCCAACATGGTTTTATGATCATTATCTGTGCCTTGAGGGCATGCCGAAAGCTGTCTTTCATCAAAGAAATCCTTGATCGGCCTCCGTCATTTCTTCCTTCATCTAATAAAAACAACACAGTTCTCAAACTAGGCTGGCTTGTGATCATTAGAACCAATACCCCATGCCTGGAAAGGGAGCTCATCACTTTTCCTCATGTGTGCAATGTCAAGGAAAAACTCTGTCAACATACTCTCATATGAAGGCATTTTAGCATAACCAGGGAAGTAATTGATGTCGATAACAAGATAAAGATTCCCAACTCGAGTGTCCCTTATCATATCGAAATTAAAGAGATGCAACTTCAAACCATGCCTCAGCTCACTGGCCACTTTAGTTAAGAAGCTCAATGGAGGCATCTCTGTCTCATCATCCATCAACTTCGCAAAGCTGGCAGAGTTTTTATCTTGTGCTGTCAAATTCGATATCTGAGAAAAGGGCAATAAATTGTGGGATGCAGGAAAGTTATCATCTGAGATGTTGGGTAAAGATGGCCGCTTCACACACTGCACGTGTCTGCCTGCTACATATACCTTGAAAAGGACACCGCCATGGTTAACAAACTCCTGCAACACAATGGGGGGTTTCAGGCCGTTCAATCCTTCTTCGTTGAAGACCAAAAACATATGGTGAGAATCAGCACTTCCATCTGCGATCAGTGGCTTGGCCATAACCGGAAACATCAACCCCTCGCGGGCAAGAGCGCCAGACAAGGACACCGAACTGTCAGGGACCGAAACCTGCTTAGGGATTGCGAGATCTTCTTCACTCTCGCTCGATATCTTCAAGTCGTTGAAGACTTCAAGCATGGAAACTCGGTTGTGTAGCCGCAGGACGGCGTCTAGAGGATCGATTATCGCGGCGTTAGGGTTTTGAATCGAGAAATCGGCAAGCTGCTTCCTCCAATCTTCGCCGTACATTTTGTGGATGACGCAATCGAAGGGACCTTGTTCGACCAGCGGCTTGTGGAGATCGATAGGCACGAGATCGATCCCTCTTTCGCGGGCATGATTGACTAAGGATGGTTGTATGAAGCTCTGCACTTTCTTCGGCGCCAGTGCGTATCCTACGCGAAAGACGAGTGACTCCGGCCTCTCCCCGGCAACATCATTTTCCGACATCGTAGCTAATAACGACGGAACCACACAGAATGCACTGCGAATGACTTAAAAGGAATTTTAGGGAAGGCTAGAGAGGATGAGGGATCAGATTCTCCGCAGCTGTTAAGAACAATGGATCTGATTCTATTATTCTATATTGTTTCCGTCCTCAATTTGATTAGTAACTCTAGATAATTTTGATTTGTTTACGTGATTTTATGAATTATTTGATAAAATAAAATATTCTTGTTATCTCTTGTTTTGTAAAATTTTTGACATAGTTTTTTAATATGTAATTTTTGTTTCTTATCGATATATCGATTTGTAGATAAAATGATTATAAAACGTGAAATATTTCTCGTAAACCCCAATTTGATTACAAATTAGGGACGGAGGGAGTATCTCGTTCCAAAATCCAAATCATTTGAGTTATTTATCCGATTTCTTCAAAAAATAAGCAAATTTCTTTTAAATTATTAAAATTGTATTAATCGTCTCTGAACCTTTAAGAAATATTATGTCATTGGTCTTTCTGTATCAGATTTGGATGTGCATTAACCACACACTAGTCTAGTGCAAGCATAGATTTATCTACACTCAAGTATCACATATGAGTTCTGTAATATACTTTTCCAATCATTATTTTATATATTTTTAACTTAAAACCCAAGATAATTATTAGCCTTAACAAAATTTGACATTGAATTCTAATGTCATTTTATGAAATTGAAGATTTCAGACATCTATCGTGTTCTGATTTAAAAATTATTTATGATCATTTTAAATATGATATCATTATTTCGTACTTTCTTAATAAAATAGTGACTTGTTATACTCCGTACAAAATTGTGGTTTTCTTTAAACATTATTTGAGTTATACTTCGTACATGTTTAATTTTTTCTAGCACGGGTTGAGCATGATATGATATTATACATTCATCTTCAATATGGAATGATACCGAATGATTTTGGGATCTATCTCATATAGATACCAAATCATTTAAATAAGTATGAAGCGTGATAGGTCCCTCTAGTATCACGAAATGGCACGAACCGCGCCCACTTCTTTGTAAATCTAGTCCTAACACTATACATATGAGCATGTTTGTACATAGAAAAGGGAAAACTACATGGATAAGAATAAAAAGGTATGAAAACACTAAAATAAGAGCCCTAGGCCTTTTAAAATCAAAATAGTACATCGTAAAAAATTTAAACACCTCTACCGCTGCCACCCACCGCACCTCCAGGATATCATTTCTTTCATCTTCATTATCACTGTACGTTTCGTTAAACTATCAACGTCGGTGGTCATGATTTTTGAAGTCTTTTGCTCAAAGCGTTAGCATTCAAGAGCAAGTTGCTCCACTTTTTCTTTACACTTTTGCTCAAGCCTCTCTACTCTCGATTGCTGCTTAAGTCGGAGCCTCTCCACCTGCGAATCAATAAAGGTGGACAACGTAGCGCTGAGATGCTCCTTTAACCAAGTCAGCAACCAATGTAGTGTTTTTGTTGATTATTTAATTAAAACAAAACATTATTGTCACGTCTTGTTGTATAAAAATTTTGATACAGTTTTGAAATATATATTATTACTTTTTATTTTTATATCAATTTATAAATAAATTAATTTAAAAGAGATGAAATTTTACGCGTTTACAAATTTTTTGGGACCAATGAGCACATCATATTACTAGCACTTTTTTGTTAAACTCCGTGCAATGAAGTGTATATCCTGACAAATGAATACTACGAGTAACAATTATCGCAATAAGTATGGGATGGAGGAAGTAGTTGGGGAATTAGTTGCACATAATAAGGGTGAAAGCAGGCCAGAGTTGGACACAAGGTATTAGTCCCTCCCTCTCTATTTGATCTTTCACTTTTTATACCGAGCTTAAGAAATGTGAAAATGTACTAAAATTTGTACAAAGGTGAGAGAATTGATGTAAACTACAGATTTGTTTTTTAAAGAACTATAACAACCCAAAAAGTCTCACGGGATTTGAGGGTGTGCATAATGTGTACGCAGACATTAACGCTACTCAAAAGTAGAAATGATATTTCTATTTTCTTTTTAAAAAGTGGGGGAATGAGTTTTTAATAGAGTTACTTGTGGCTAACCACCACTTGTTTCTAAACCAACCCTCTACTTCTCTACCCACACACTCTTTAAATGCTTTCTTCCTCAAACCACACACACCACCAACCTACTGCTCTCTCTCCCTATCAATACACACACACACACACATGATCTGCAGCTGCTGAGGCATATCTTTGAACTCTCAGCCATGGACATGAAAGGAGATGCTACTAGTAGCAGCAGCAGTAGCAGAGTTTGTGTGATGGATGGTACAGGATGTGTGGGCTCCACTCTCGTCCGACGCCTTCTTCTCCGAGGATACACAGTCCATGCTGCTCTGCAGACACATGGTTAACTTCCTTCTTCTTCTTCTTCTGAGAAGTCTTTTTTTATTCATCAGGATAGTGTGGGATTGAAAACATTACAAAACTCTCTGTAATCATAACTGAGGTCCATATCCTCTATGACAGATGATGAAATGATGAAATCTTTTAAGAGGAAATATGCTGAAGAAATCAGTAGCAGCAGACTGAGAGTTTTCCAGACAGACCTTTTGGATTATCACAGCATATTGGAGGCAGTGAAGGGATGTTATGGCTTGTTTTACACTTTTGAGCCTCCATATGATTATGCTTCTTATGATGTAAGTTTCCCTCCCCCTTTTCTTCATGCTCTAATGCCTCCTTGACCTGCCCAGAACTTACTAGATGCAATTTTAAATGACCAAGGTTTTTTTGAAACCTGTTTTAGGTGTTATAACTTATAATATGCCATTGGGGCCCTAAGTTGAGCTATTGGGCCTGGGACCAGGTCCTATCCCTCTAACCCAACCTCTGCGGGTTGGGTGTAGGACCCAGTCCCAACCAAATGAAACAATGTGGGGCCCCAAATGGCTGGGTGTCAAAAGAACCGGCCTCAATTAGTAATAGCAGCATGATGCAGTCATTAGCATTAAACAATTTAGTGTTTGATAGAAGGGCAATTAATCACGTTAGCGCTTGGATGAGGAGAAAAAGTAGCTGATTCAAATGTCAGGAAGGTAGACTTAATGGGGTATTACAACTTGATGAAAGTAGAGTTACACAGTGATTGGAGAAGAAGCATTCATGAGGGAGACAAATTGATGCAGGAATTCATGGGGGAAATTGAGGTGAGAGCTGCACACAACGTGGTGGAAGCTTGCACGCACACCACCACCATAGACAAAGTAGTTTTCACATCCTCTGCCACAGCAGTGGTGTGGGCCCGGGGCTCCCTCCACCCTCTCGACGAAAGAAACTGGAGTGACATCAGCCTCTGCAAGAACCTTAAGGTACCCAAATCGACAACACTAACTATGCTTTGGAGGAACAGAGCTAAGAAGGGAAGGAAAAATAACTTTTCCAAAATGGGAGGAAAACTTTTCAATCTTCATTATGAAATTTACCCTTTCATTCTTCTTTCAATTTTTAAAATTGAGCAAAAATTAAAGAGTAAATTTGTACCAGTATAAATTAATTTTTTATCCAATGTTTCTTTATTCCTTTTGTATTTTACCTCAATCCAACCATGATGAAGGTACTAAAAAGAGAGGAACTTAGTTCTTTCCCCCTACTTATTTTTCCACTCCTCATGGAAAATGCCCAAACATAGCTTAAAATGCATACAGTTGAACACTTCATAAAACTGTTGTTACAATTGGCCCAAAATAATGTGCAGTTATGGCACGGTCTGTCAAAGACAGTGGCAGAGAAGGCAGCATGGGCATTGGCGATGGACAGAGGGGTAAACATGGTGTCCATTAATGGAGGCTTGTTAATCAGCCCTTGTTTGAGCATTAAAGATCCATACCTGAGAGGAGCAGCGGAGATGTACGAAGGTGGGTTCTTGGTAGCGGTGGATTTAAGATTCTTGGTTGATGCTCACATTTGTGTCTTTGAGGATGTTTCGTCTTATGGAAGATACCTATGCTTCAATCACGTCATCAAATGCAGCCAAGACACTGCTATGCTTGCAAAAATGCTTTTAGCAGTAACCCCTGCACAACAGCCTCTATCTGCACACTCTATTCAGAAGTAAGTCCCCTTCAGATGTATGTGTATGTTGTTTTGTATCCAAACACGTGTTTCGACCATAGAGAGCAACAAAATCCTTGTAGTGCCATGCCTTCTAGATTGAGCATACCGCAAGTTGAAGCTAACCTTAGTAGAAAAGTTTGTTCCATGTGCAATTCCCATTTTTAAACCTTTGAAACATTAACACATTCATCTTACTTTCATCTGTAATAGTATTTCATTTTGTAAACATGAAATTGGAAAATTAAGCTCACATCCAATAAAAGAAAAGAAATTGGATTATCTACTTAGGATGGAAAGAATAGATGATCAAATTATTTCTTATCAAAATTCAGCATGCTGTTATCTGCCAAATTGTGCCTTTTTTTTGCTGAAGTGGTGTTGTCCGTAATCTTAACAGTATGGAAACGGAAGAAGACATGGTGTACCAGCAAAAGATAAGCAACCAGAAGCTAAGCAAACTCATGTCAGGCTTTGAAAGGGGAGCACTACAAATGCACGCATGAGGGACAGATGACCTAAAGACTAATGACACCCAAATAAAACTTCTACAGATTTGATCAGCAGAGAAATACAAGATGCTCTCATGGATTCACTATTCAGAATGAAGAATGTGAAAGACACCTATAAACTTGCATGCACAATATATAAACACAGACAACTTCGTTGCTTATAGCTGTTTCTTTTTTATAGAACTTCTCAACTGCCGATGTATTTCGCCAATTGCAACACTTCCCAGAGCTGTTTATGTATGTTAGAATCATATTCAGTGGCTATCACTCTCTCCATGTATCTAGTTTCAAAATAATGTCATTGTCATGTGAGTGGCTAAATTTTGCTTGATTCTGTCCACACTATTAACTCATAGTTATTAACTTATTATATAAACGATCACATGATGTAATTGCACTTCACAACATGAGACACAGAAGCTAATAAAGAACAGCTCAGTGTGCAAGTCAAATAAAAAGATAGAATACAGAGTAACCTTACATGTATGGAGTGTATAGAACGAAGAATGCTCATACACTGAGTGACATGCAAGTAACTGCAGATATTTTATATTTTTGTACTTCACTTAAACCTTGAGATCGAAATAGAACCACTGTGCTTGATAGAACACAAACTTCCTTCCACTCAAAAGCTGAGGGCCCTCCACCTCGGTAGTCTCGGAGAGCATACAAAATTTGAAGCTTTGAAGGAGCTGTGTACAGGGCAGGTATTAGACCTCTTCATTTTTAATTTTACAAAAGAAACAGATCCAACATACCGTACTACTCTAGAACACAAAAGGCACGCACAGATCCATTACTCTTGTAAACAACTCCCTCTATTGACGAATAATTGTTTCTTCTAAGGCGGTAATTAATTTTTTTATAAAAGAAATAACTAGGTGTTAAAGTAACAAGAAAAAGTGAAATAAATATGTGATGGCAACCTCTTATCAAATAACAACTCCCACTAACTCAAATTAATTGTCACTTTATCCAAATTATATTCTCCCAAAATCATTGTAATTTTAGGAATTCAATGCATTTTTGCTAATCTTTCAAATATGCCAATATGCTATTGTATGTTGGAAAGGAATAAACTGCTTTTAACGGTAAACTTAAATAAAAGTAGAAGGGTTATTTTGTATGGAATCTTATTATGTGTACACTTTTCCAAAACGTTAATTGTTGTTGGGAACTGGGATAGAGAGAGTACATTTCTTACTTTATTGGTTTTGCTGAATTTGAGGTTATTTGTGAGCATAACAAATTGGTTATGAGCAGTTATTTGAAAGCATTCTGTCAAAACATGTTTAAGCTTCAAGAGAATAATGGACTTAAACAAAATCACACATTATACTTCATTTACTTCTTAGTTTGTATGAAGTTTTGAACAGTAAATGTGGCGATACATTATAGGTCTAATCCAAGGTAAGCTTGCGGTCATCTTGAACTCCTAGGCACCAACAATGTTGAGAATTGAGATTATTCTTGGTTTTGTTGATGATGGCTGAAGTAAATAATAAGTACATTGTACACCTAAGAAAGCATGGATATATCTAAAATCAATAGGCAATAGCAATACCTAAAACAGACATGCTTGTATTTTGGATTGTCAAGCGACAAACTTTTGATCTTTTGATATTTCGTAATGCGAAAATATCATCCTTCTTCCCCTTGAATTCTAGAAACTCTCCTAGGATGTATTTGTTATTCTTTAACTGTAGCCTGCACGAATCAAACAAGATTTTAAAAGAGAAACATAAAAACACTACACACTAGAAAATCACTGCTATCATGTGGCTACCACCGCTCACTATTATCATCATCATTATTGTTTTCTCACAGCACACCTATCTGTAGTCAAAACATATGCTCTTTTTCATTATGTTAAAGTAACGTTGTTAGTTGTTACCACTAACATATTCGCATACAAGTGAGCTACACGTACATCACCCTCCCCTACAAATTCCCTCAACAGATATGTAGAGTAACACATAAATTTCAACTGTGAAGGAGGCTTTATGATGAAGGGCTGGGATGAGGTCTTTATGTTCTGATAAAGTGGAGTACTGACAAATCCATTGTTCTAAATACAAACTGGAAAACGGAATCCATATATTCAACAGATTACAAGGGTGTACGCATGCAAATTGATAGATCCCACATTGGAGCACAAGATGGAGGGCCAGCAATTTTTTGAGGACGAGGGAGAGGATGGGAGTACATAATGGAGGGCGAAACTGACCGATCCCACATTGGAGCTGTGCTTAGAAGATAATCAAGCTTATGCTGCATTGTTCCCGGCATTTCTTTCTTTCCAGAATGAAGTGCGCCTTTAATCCACCCGTAAAGCATGCTCTTACCCTGTGGCTTTAGCTGTACCCACTGGTCACTTGTAATCACCTCGGATGGAAAAGAGTCTGCATGAATAGTTCTGCAAGATAGAAGGGAGCACATGAATGCCAAGCTTGCACTTAATGGAGTTAAAATAACCTGCAGGTGGCTCATAGTTCTAATTATACAATAATAGCACAAAGACCTTATAATCCTAACATATTATGTTCATGCCTCACAAATGACATGGCTCAAGATAATGCCTTCATTTAGAATTGCCTTAATCTATCTAGACGGAGTAAATGTTAGCCTGAAATGCTTGTTACCTCAGACCCCACTGTTGTGGGAATCAACTGGGTTGTTGTTGTTTGTTGTTGCTTGTTACCTCACTTTACCAAAATGTACTCCGTATGCGATTATTGATCTACACTGTATAACTTTAGCAAATAGATAAAGAAATACGTTGTAATGTTGAATGAGTAATCAGGATCCAATTTTGTATGCAACTAAAAATCATGAACATGTCAGCTGGTAGTTACTCTAGCGCAATGACACATGAATGCCAGAGTAAGAATGTGTGACAGGTTGAAATTTTTTATCTTTCGTACAATTGCTAAATGCCTACTCTTAAACGAAGTTTTCTGCTTTTAATCACCTAGATACAATTTTCATAGGATACGAGGCTTTGAAATTGCCCTTTTCACATACATGGATTTTGGAGGAGTCCTCTTTATAGGGAAAAAAGAAAGTTGGTTCCAACTACGAGTCAAGAAGCACCGATCCACACCAACAATACTGAATGAAGTCATGAGCCATAGATAAACATTAATTGAAGTTAGAAAATATACCGAAAAGCTGGATTTGGACATATGACTTTGCAAGAAAGATATCTCTCTGGAAGGGGGCATCCCCTTTGTTCAAGGTATGACTCCAAAATAGGAATGAGCTGTTTTGTTTCTGCTACCTGAAATAGAAAGTTTTAAGAAAGTGAGTACATTGCATGGCCCAATAAAGATTTAGAATAATGGGAGGGAATAAATAAAATACTCCGTTATAGTTTAAAAATAGAGCTTCTCCTGCCAAACCTCATGCATTGAAAGCACCAAGTTCCTCGAGACATTGTGTTAAGATTGAACGGTATGAGGCGTGAGGGAGGAGAGCGTGACACCGAGACGGAGAGGCGCGACCGAGTCACAAACCTTCTGACCAGGGTCACCGTGTGAAGGGGAGAGATTTTGTTTTTTTTTATTATTTTTTAAATTCTAACCAATTAAGATTCAACACACGTCCACCTCAATCACTCAAAATAATTCAAACTTTAACACCTCATCACTCCTTTTCACACCCACCATACCACACATATTTTTATCACTCCACATCACACATTTTCACACCCTATCACCCCTTGTCACCCCGGCCCATGTTTTTCATATGCCATACCACATGACCTACAACAACAATAACTCAGTTGAGTCCCACAAGAGTAGGGTTTACGGAGGGTGTGTGTACGCACAGAGGCTGTTTCCAAGGAGACCCCAACTAAAGTTGCATTAATTGGCCAACTGCTTTTTCATTTATTAAAGAAGCCTAGGCATTTTAGAGATCCATTTTTCTTTATTCCATCACACCCTATGCCAAAAAATAGTGAATTTTTTGTTCCATGGGAGATGATGGCCTAACTGGTGCAATACATTAGTAACTTACAGGATCTGGAAAACACTGATTCTTATGCTTTCGTCCACCACTGCAAACCCAACTCCCATCCGTATCAATATGTACAGAACCTGAGACATTCTTGACAGAGATTACTGCCACTTCCCTGGATGATGCATAATGGGACACCTTAGCAGATAACAAATGATTGTATCCAGAAACTAAAACAGTCACTCCATATTTGACATAACAATGTTTCTATCAGACAAAATCCCCCTATTTTGAAAAATAAAACATCCAATGCTATCAGTTGTTCTATGTTCTGATGTTTTAGGGTGATGAAATTGCCAGTCGCAGATGACGAATGTGAAATTAAGTGAAATAGGAGAAGAGAGAAAAATGCACCGGCGAGTAAGAAGAACAATATCAATGCTCCGGCGAGATCCAGAATCGACATCCGGAATTAGGAGCCCAACGAACGCCTTACCGCCATAGATCTTCTCCAGCCTACGCCCAACAACAGCGAATCAGTGATATTCCGTGTGGATTGACTAACAAAAGCTACCTACAAGAGCGAAAATTCCGAGGTTACAGAAATTAGATTACTGCCGGGCGACGGAGAAAAGCGCGTTGGCATAACTTGTTTCTTCTTCGCGAACGTCGTTCTCTTCGCTGAAGAATCGTTTCAATAATCGGAAAACGGCGAAGCCGCAGATCACTTCGACCCACATAATATCCCGCCGGTTTTACGCCGCCGATCAATAACGACCTTGGCAGGTTCCTCGGGCCCCTTTCTTTCAACTAATCCAAATGGTCCATAATTGATTTTTCCTAAACAAAACAATTTCAGTAATATATGATTATATGTGACTGACAGGCGCGCAAAAAAAATACGGAGGATGTGACTGACGGATTTCAATAGTGTATGTAAAAAATAAAAGCAAAAGTTAAAAACATTAAAAATAAAAATAAAAAGTTAAAAACTTTAAATTTTAATGTTTAAAAATCCAAAAATGAAATGAGAAAATCAAAAGTTAAAATCATTAAAAAGTTTTATACTCCGTATTATTAATTTCTAATTCATTATATGAAAGTCTAATTTAATACTCTGTATATCAATTAAAGATTTGATTTTTATGTACAAAAATGAAAGACAAATATTGTATTTATTTTGTTACAAATGTGTGTGAATATATAATATGCATGTTTGCGTGTGTGGGTATTTATATTAAAATTTTAGAAATTTAAAATTTTATTTTGAATCTTCTATTGTTTTAAAATGTTTATAATTGAACTATTTGATAATTTAATTGATTATTATGACCTCTTAGTTTATTTTTAAAAGAATAAACTACTTTCTGGGCTAATTGAATTAGTAGTTTTAACTTTTGACTGACGGATAGTATTAGCTGTTAAATAAAAATTATTTGATAAGTTTAGATGTTCAGAAATAGTTGTTTGTACTTCCATTTTTAAACATGCCTCCATATACATTGATTAATGTTTTATGTTGATTAGTTCAATATATTGAATTTTGTATATAAACACATTTTATAGGCAAGTGAGTAATAATATTTGTTTCGTCTCAAAAAAATCTTCACTAATAATTTTAGGTTTATTTATTTTTATGTGTATTTTAATGGATTATTTTGTAAAACAACAATCCTATCACCCCTTATTTTATACAGAGTAGATGATTTTGGTGTAATTATTTTGAGGAAGGGATATCTTTAAAATATATTTTGTCTGTCGCGTAAAATTTTTCAATTTTCACATTTTGCTTATCCCATAAATCATTTTAGGGTGATGCTAAATCCACCCCAAAATGGTTATATCCACTCCTTTCACATAAAATTGTTAAATCCATACCAATATAAACTTTATATTAATGGGTGTAGATATATCCATTTTGGGGGGTGAATTTAGCAACACCCATCATTTTAATACGAGTACATGTTAAATAGGAATGATTGTTTTTTACTTTTCTTAAATCCAACTGAATCTACCTCAACTATTTATACTATGGCCTAGGGGTGCATACAAATCAAATAAAATGTATTCGACTCGTGATTTGTATTCGAAAAAGATGATTCGTATTCGCTATATTCGAATTTGAATCCGAATACAAATCATATTTTAGATTCGTATTATTTTCGAATTCGAATACAAATATTAATAGATTCGATTCATTTACTATTCATATTATTCGAATGTTGTAATATATATATATATATATATATATATATATATATATATATATATATATATATATATATATATTCTAATATATTAAATATTTGTGTACATATTTTAACATATTTTAATATATTAAATTTTTGTGTACATATAAATTTATATATATTCTAACATATTTTTACTACATTTTACATTATTAATTTAATGTCTTTAAGAAATTTGTTTTAAGAAAAAAATTACTAATATTTTCGAATTTGAATATTCGAATACGAATTTAAATACGTCAAATATCTATCGAATCGAATACAAATGTTTTTTAAAATTCGAATTATATACGAATTCGAATTCGAATACATATCACTTTAATCGAATACGAATCGAATAGTGATATATTTGTTTCGATTCGATTCGTATACACCCCTACTATAGCCTACACATTTTAATATTTTTCGATCATACTCGTTTTAATTATCGTTATTTAATTTTGATCAAACTTCAACAATTTTCTCTCCCAAAAATTAGAATATGAAATGTTTTACGGTACAAAGATAGTATGAGTTTTTTTTATTAAAAAATCTATTTTTTTTAGATAAAGTGAATTGAGTTGGGATGAATGATGATCCATGTTTTATTCAAAAAGAGCAAAAGACAGCAAATCCGTTCTAAAATGGGTAAATAAGTCTTTTTGTTAATTTTAATTCGACCGGCTAACACAAATTTTGAATTTTAATGATGGCCTTTCTCATTATCCAAACACTTATTTTAGAATTTTGACTCGATCAAACCAGGCGTATGGGTCCGCCGGCGAACAGCGGCGGGGGAGAACATCTCGGGACTCTAATTTTCACCTACGGAACCTTGAAGCGCGGATTCTCCAATCACGTCCTCCTCCGAGATCTCATCGACTCCGGCGACGCAGCCTACATCGGCGATTACCTGACCGCCGAGAAGCTCCCGCTCGTCTGCGGACCGTACCGTGTCCCCTTCCTCCTCAATCTCCCCGGATCCGGCCACCGCGTTCGGGGGGAGCTCTACGCCGTCTCTCCTCGAGCCCTAGCGCGGATGGACGAGCTGGAGGGGACCGCGCGCGGCCACTACGAGAGGCTCCCGGTCGCGCTCCGCCTGCAAGGGAAAAGCGGGGAGGAGATCGTGGAGGTAGAGGCGTACTACGCCCACCGGAGCTACGCGGCGGAGCTGTGGAAGAGGAGCGGCGAGAAGGGGTACAGATGCTATGGTGAAATCGAATCTGTTGGATATGTCAGACGCAAAGATCGACCTCAACATCTCTCGTTTCTGGATCAGATTAGCCTCTTCATCGGCCGCCATTGTGATTCCATTACTGATCATCATTAAACATCTTCTCATGCTCTTCTTTTACAGTAATTTTTTAATGGGAAATTTTATGGTGCCCAGCATTGGAAGATTTAATTGGTTATGCATTTCATTTTTTAGCAGAATGTCTAACCAATTTAGGTCCCATTTGACATCGAAATTAGCGTTAATCGAAATTTGCTTTAACGTTTTGAAAAGAATATCCGAGAATACCTTTTAGCATTTGTATTTTTAGAATTAATTACATCATTAAATTAAAATATATACAAATCGCTAACGCTAATCGAAAACGCTCTTATACAAATCGCTAACGCTCAATATACAAAAAATTATAAAAATTATATATTTATAATCGGTGAATATTGAATAGTGGTACTATATTAGAAAATAAAAAAATATGGAACCACATTGGAAAATAAAAACATATAGTTCTACATTAAAAAAATCACTATTTTTAATACCGGTGTACCACTGTACCGTAGTATTATTTAAATAATTTCTCTTACAAAATTTAGATTGTCTAACACCTCATTTCCCAAACATTCATTTGGGTCCAAGCCCATATAGTGGATACATCATTTCCCAATCATTCATTAATTAATGGTGCGCTCATTTTTTAGCTTATCGTGTCAACTTGGGCCCTACGACCAAATTGTTAATTAATCCTTTCTTCATCTTTGAATCTAATGTTTATTTACATTTTTTATGAGATTTAAAGAAGGAATATTTTTTTATTATGTTTTCCAAAATATCTTTAGAGAGAACTCTCTAGGAGTACAAAATTATGAAAATATGAAAATATGAGTTACATGTCTAGGAGTTCACACCGTCATTGTTATATTTTCGCACTCAACACATTGTGATATTGTAATTGCCACACTATCACTGCCCCAGTGCCATTGGTCGTCACTGGTCACCAGTGTGCTGTGTGCCGTCGCACCAACAAGTATTTTTTTATTATGCTGAAAGCCCATATTGTATATTTGTATTGTCATCATTATTCTATCACACTGTCAACAAGTATTTTTCTATCATACTGCCGTTATACTCTTATTTTGGTCATAAAAGATTTATGACTCCTATTTTGATATTTTCATACTTTTTTACTCATATACATGGAGATTTCTTATATCTTTAAAGTAATGGTGAAAATAGAATGTAAAACTCCCTCAATTCCATATTAGATGCTACACTCCAAACAATTAATGTATAAAATCTTATTATTTTTAAAAATCATTTTATTTACAAATTAGAATAAAAATAAAAAATATAAATTATATTATAAAATAAAAAGTAATAAGAATATTTTATTTTATGACATTATTAATGAAAATATAGAAAGAAACAAAATTTATCGAATGTCACCTATTTGAGGACGGATAGATATGTAAATTAAACTCTATTCTCACTGAAATAAAAAGTAAAAGTACTCAATTTTTCCAATCTGGATGGTCGCATACCGCGGCCGAGTCGTTGGTTCAAAGCCGCCGCCACTTGCGGCTGCTCAATTACGTAATTCATCTCAACAAAATCTTGTCGGTAAACTTACTTAATCAATTGGGTTTTCCCATGCAAAAAAAAACTCTTTCTATAAATAGGCAGCCCAAACACCCCATGTTTCTCACCCCAAGCCTAATCTTGACATTCCAAAGTCAATTAACAACACAACCAATAAAAATGGCCAACCTTTTCCTAATTATGCTCTCCTTCTCCCTCTTTAGTCTGGTGGTCGCCACCGACTTCCCGTCATGCAACCCGGCCGACGAAGCGGTCCTTCTGAAGGTCAGAGACCGCTTCGGCGGACCAAACGGGCGGCTCTCCGACTGGACCAACAGCTCAAACTGCTGCAGCGACTGGAGCTTCGTCGGCTGCAACTCCCGCACGGGCCGAATCACCACCGTCACGATCAGCCGGTCGTGGGGCCTGAGCGGGACGCTGCCCGACGAGCTCGCCGACCTGCCCTTCCTCAGCTTCCTCTCCTTCGCCGAGGAGCCCAACGTGACCGGGCCCATCCCCCAGTCCTTCAGCAAGCTGAAGAGGCTCGAGAGGCTCGAGCTCGACGGCAACAGCCTGACCGGCCCGATCCCGACGTTCCTCGGTCAGCTCAAGAAGCTGTCGTTCTTGAACGTGTCGCATAACTCACTGACCGGTTCGATACCGGCGCTGCCCGCCGCGCTGACCACCTTCGACGTCAGTTACAACCAGTTGTGCGGGGTTATCCCGGACGCGGTAAAGAAGTTTGGAGAGAGCGCGTTTGAGCATAACAGATGCCTTTGTGGGCCTCCCCTGCCAACCAATTGCCACTGAAGAATATGAAAATCAGATCATCTCCACCGACGAGGTAGTACGGATGGTAGCTTCAATTCAATTATTAATGAATAATGTGGTTGGGAGTTGGGACAAAGGATATGATATATGTTACTCCTAGCTAAGTACTATATATTGTTGTTTTGAGATTAAATTGTTCTCATGGCTGATATGTAATCATCAATAACACAAATAAGAAATAAGATGTACTTGTACATTAGAGAACATAGTTCTTATTTTCGAAATAATAAAGACATGTTTTTTATCTTCAATAAAAGATGAAGTATTGCGTTACGTAAACTTTTGAAAGTTTTTACTAGTCCCTTCGTTGGGTATTACACTATTAATCCGTACATTGGCTGGAGATCATAATCAAAAATTAGATGAGAAATCATTTCTGGATGAAAGGATTAAATAAAATAATTATTACTTTGGATATCTTTTTACTTCTTCCTTTATATTCTTGTAATCTTGTGGTTCCAAACTAAAATGTTATTTTTGGTACATACAATTTATTTTTAATTTAGTTTATTTAAAAATTGACATGAAATAAAAAAAATAAAAATTAATGTGAGGTACATATGTAAAAATTAAATTAAAAGTTCTACAAAAAAGAGGATTTATGACTATATAATTTTATCAAATGAACAAAAAAATAGTTAACAAAAGTAAATGAAGTTTGATATGAATTGTGAACAAACAATTTTAATTAAAACAGATCGAATTGAGTATTTGATACAGTTTTAAAATAAATATTATTTTATTTTTAACTTGCATACACCCTCCGTTTCTAAAAGATCTTCTCCTTTCATTTTTTTGTTGTCTCCAAAAGATGTTTCCTTATTTATCAAAAAATCACTTTTACCCCTTATTTTTTCATATTCTACCTATCACATCATATTTTTTTACTAATAATCTACACATCACATTCTACTTTTACTTATCATATCAAATTATTTTTTGAAGGTCAACATAAAAATATCCGTCCCTTAAATATTGAAAAAGTCAATAAGGGAAATGTTTGAGGGATGGGGAGGTATAAAATTCAAATAAAAATAATTCTAGCTACAAGAATATCCGGAGCATTATTGGTGCATTTATTTTTAGGCTTATTTTTTAGTCAACTTGATTGGGCGAAATAGTGCTGACTTTTTCAATGGGGACGCCCGCCGCCGCTCAAATAATTTAAAGAGAAATTTAGCTTGACATTATTCTTTTCATTAGTCATTATTCAACTAAATGTCCAGAATTATCTGGACATTATTCTTCTCACTAGTCATTATTTAATCTTATTTAAGAAATAAAAAAGTTTAGGTCCTACATTAAGAAATGACTTATGTTTTAGTACTATTTAGTGCAAATTTCACTAATTTAAATTACTTGTTTCCACATTTTATTATCCTTAGTAATCAAATTAAAAAAACTAATTAAATGTAAATTTAATATAATTAATTTTAGTTTAAAATGTACTTTTCATATATTGAACATTAATAACATTTATTTTTTATTGAGTATATGTTTATGTGGATATTTATAAAAAAGGGTGAGGCCAAAAAAATTGTGGGTAACCTTTTCTAAATGGTACTAAAACATAGTGATTTTTTCAATATAGTTCTATATGTTTTTATCTACCAATATAGTAGCACTGGTTATTATTTATTGCTCATTGTTCAAGTAAATGTCCAGTACCATTGGACATTATTCAAATTAAATGTTCGTCATCACTGGGCTACTAGATATTATTCAAGTACTATTTAAAAAATAAAAAAATTTAAGTAGTACATTGGGAAATGACATATGTTTAAGTACTCCCTTCGTCTCACATAATATTACTCATTTTGATGTATTTTTGGTCAAACAGTTACACGATTTTACCATAAGCTAAATATAATCAAAATAAAGAAATGTTATAAAAATTTGATATTTCAAGATAATTAAATATACTTTTCTCAAAATTTGTAATAAAGCGTGTAATTATTTAACCAAATACTATTCAAAAATGTGTAATATTTTGTAACAGGAAGTGTACTACTCCGTATTTAGCAAATAGCCACGGGCCATATATGGTTCCCCAATAATAAAGGCAACTCCTCTTCCGGTTCCGGGCATCCCTTGCCTGATTTTGCTCTACTTCTCCTTCCTCTTGGCTACCTTCTTGAATCCAATCCTCCCCACGGATTACCCCGTATGCAACTTGCGGTTCCTCACCTTCCTCTCGCTGGAGGAAGCGCGGTCGAACGTGACGGGGCGCATACCAGAGTCTTTACGCAACCTTAAGAGGCTGGAGAGACTCGAACTCGACGGAAACCGCCTGAGCGGTCCGGTCCCGGCGTTCCTAGGCCGTCGTACCACCGGAGTTGCCCGCTGCGTTGACCGTTTTCGACGTCAGCTCCAACCTGCTCTGCGGCGCCGTCCCCGGCGGGCTGCAGAAGTTCGGCCGGAGTGCTTTTGAGCATAACAAATGCCTTTGTGGGCCTCCCCTCCCATATATATGCCGGTGATCACACCATTATCTACTCTATTTTTTCTTTTTTTCTAACTCGGAGACAATAATTGTTTATGGCAAAGTTTTACAACACGTTTCGTTCAAAGAATTTTAGAGGGAAAGAAAAAGAAAATGAGAATGAAAATATTTTTCTTGCTTAGTTAGAAAGAGATCAGGAAGAAAAGAAAAGTAGAAGGAAAAGAAAATCAAAAAACAAAATGTCCTATGAGAATGAAAAACCATTTTCTTTTCTTTTTTCTTCCAAATTCTTTGAACCAAACACAGTGTTAGGAGTTATGCTTCAGAACCACAATATTTGAACCCCACAATATTTATGAAGAATGATGAGAAAAAAAGGATGACCCCAATTCCTGAGAGTCCCTTTAAATCCGGCTAGACGGTCACTAAAAAGACGTAAATTGAAGAATTGGACTTTGATAGCAAATTGGTGTAAAAAATGAAACCTGTACTGGGTACTTGTAGAGCATCCACTCAATATTTACATAGAATAATGAGAAAGTCTGCAAGAATGTAAGAAGGTGTGGTTAAACTCTCAAAAATGGAATTCAAATGTTGGAGTTCAAAGTTTTAGAGTGGTCAAATTCGGTATATATCGTCTCTAACCTGATACTATTGTACGGAGTAAAACACATTGTTCTTGAAATTAATCAATTTTAATACGGTCATTTGAAGAGGATTTGCACTTTGAAACTTGTTTAGAGTCTTCTTATTTTGATCTAAAAATTTATTAAATTTTGATGAGATTTGATTTGGTCGACTCTTAACTTATCTGATCTGATTTGAATGCGATCAACAAAAACCTGAAGACAGGAACTTCAAATGTTTGGAGAACTTGTCAAGAACATCAAAGTAATCTGGGAAGGTCTTGCGAGTGCATCCCGGGTCCTTAATGGTCTCACTGGCACGTCCGCGCAAGCAGCAAGAGAGAATGCCATTGCCATTCTGTGATCGTCGCAAGTGTCAATTTCTGTCACGTTTAGTTTCTCAGGTGGCGTTAGCGCACTGCGCACAGCAATCTGGACCTTCCTCAACTCTCGCTCCCAACTGAATCGATTGGAAAACAGGTCTTTATATGGTTTAAAAAAAGTGAAATTTGCACTAAATATGACTAAAACATAATGACTTTTTTAATGTAGGACTTAAACTTTTTTATTCCCTAAATAGAACTAAATAATGACCTCGTGGGAGGAATAATGTCCAGTAATGCTAGACATTTATTTGATTAATGATTACTTGTTAATGACCAGAAGTCCTACATTGGGAAATAAAAACAAATGGTCCTATATTGGGAAAGTCATTATGTTTTAGTCCTATTTAGATAAATTTCTCTTAAAAAAACCCAAGAAAAAAAAGATCAAAACGTTGATGGGGTTGGAATATAATGTCTGTCTACCTTTCTAAGTTCAGTGCATATAGCGATCATCTGCTTGGTTTCCTCGACTCTCTAGCTAGCAACTCAAAAATTGGAAAGGATTAGAGACCGTGGAGGGGTGTAAATAAAATTAAGGATTGAGTACGTGTATAATTAATTAGGACTAAAACATAATGACTTTCCTAATGTAGGACTTAAACTTTTTTATTTCCTGAATAGGACTTAATAATGATCTAGTGAGAGGAATAATGTCCAGTAATGCTAGACATTTACTTGAATAATGACTACTTGTTAATAACCAAAAGTCTTACATTGGGAAATAAAAACATATTGTCCTATATTGGGAAAATCATTATGTTTTAGTCCTATTTAGGTAAATTACTCATTAATATATAGGGATTTGGAAGGCGTTTTAGAAAAGGAAATTTTAACTTTTGGATAGAGTACGTGTATAAATAAATATGGATAGATTAAAGTAAAATTTGGTAGGTAGAATTAGACAGAGTACGGTAAATCCAATAATTTTTACCAATAATTATATAGAAAGTAATCCAATAAGAACACATCCGAATCCTCCAAGATTCATATATACATTACTACTTTAATTAACTTAAGTATCACTTCTCGGAAGATGACGATATGTAGGGATTTGGAAAGCGTTACTTTAGAAAAGGAAATTATAATTACTTTTGGATGGGACGAATTGAAATTAGTAAAGTAAAAAAGGGATAAGCATGCATGCATGGATGACAATATAGGGTACTTTAATTTACATACAATCCAATCCATGCAGTATAAATAGAGGGGATGCATGCATGCATGGGATGGGAGAAACCATATCATCAAATACGTACTTCTACTGCAACCCAATCAACATACATACAAAGCATCCAATCCCAATTCTCACATACATACTACTCCTATAATAAACAGCCTGCCTAGCTACAATGATGTCCTCATCGTCACCATCGTCAAACGTGGTCGCCGCCGCCGCCGTGGGATCATCATCGTCCCAAGGAGGAGGAGCTGCTGCTGCTGCTGCTGCTAATGATGTGACCTTTAAGGCGGATGTTGTGGTGTCACCAAATCCCTCCATAGCCGAAGCTCTGGCGACAGCCCCGCCGCCGCCCGCTCCATTCGGGATTCACGTCATGGCCGGGACGTACGAAGAGTACGTCACCATCAGCAGGAGCAACGTCACCTTGTTCGGAGATGGCATCGGGAACACCATCATCACCGGAAAGCGCAATCGTGCTGACGGCCCCACCACCTCTGACACCGCCACCCTCAGTAAGTANGCTGCTGCTGCTAATGATGTGACCTTTAAGGCGGATGTTGTGGTGTCACCAAATCCCTCCATAGCCGAAGCTCTGGCGACAGCCCCGCCGCCGCCCGCTCCATTCGGGATTCACGTCATGGCCGGGACGTACGAAGAGTACGTCACCATCAGCAGGAGCAACGTCACCTTGTTCGGAGATGGCATCGGGAACACCATCATCACCGGAAAGCGCAATCGTGCTGACGGCCCCACCACCTCTGACACCGCCACCCTCAGTAAGTAGCTAATACTAAGCCATAGCCGCCCATAGCTAGTAGCTATATACACAACTAGTCCATCATATATATATATATATATATATATATATATATATATATATATATATATATACATACATACATACATACATACTGATACTCTAATTAATACTCAATGCAGTTGTGGAGGGAGTAGAGTTCATTGGTGCATATATGACGGTGCGGAACGAGTCGGGCCCGCAGAAGAACCAGGCGGTGGCGATGAGGGCGAGCGCCAACCACGTCGCCTTCTACAAGTGCAGTTTCGAAGGGTACCAAGACACGCTCTACCCTGAAAAGGGGAATCCGTTCTACAAGAAATGCCAGATCTACGGCACCATAGACTTCATCTTCTCCCAGAGCGGCAGGGTGGTCCTCCAAGACTGCGGCATCCACGTCCGCGACCCCCGCCCCAAGACCACCAACACCATCACGGCCGACGGCAGGGATGTGCCCGACGACATCAACGGCGGCGGGATATGCATCCACCGCTGCCAGATCTTGGCCACGCCGGAGCTCCTCCGGGCCATGGCGGAGGAGAAGGCGGCCGGTGGGAGCATAGAGTCGTACTTGGGACGCCCGTGGAAGAAGTACTCCCGCACCGTCATCATGAGGACTAACATTGAAGGCGGCTTCCTGAACCCCGCTGGATGGACGAAGTGGCCCGGTGCCCCAGACGATACGTATAACACGGTCTACTACGTCGAGTACCAAAACTCCGGGGACGGGGCGGCCACCGACGGACGGGTCGCCTGGAAAGGCTACATTAGGGATGGCTTTGACCCTTCAAAGTTCACCGTCGCCGCATTCATCGACGGCAACTCCTGGCTCCCGGCCACCGGTATTCCCTTCACTCCAGGCCTGCAGGATGATGATGAACCTGCTGCTGCAGCCCATCCATCTGATCCTCTGTCCATCCATGACCCATAACTCCATAAGCCCAGCATAGCCCGGCTTTTATTTATTTATTTATTTATTTATTTATTCATTAGTCGCAATTAAAACAGCTAGCGTATCTTAATCAATTAGTTAGTTAGTTAGTTAGTTTGATAGTCTGGTTTAGTTAGTTAATTATCAGTGCCTCCATCTATCTATCGTCCTATGATCAGTTTATAATGGCCACATTAATTTGTTTAATTGCTTTATTACTACAAGATCCATCTATCCATCCCTATAGGCAAATTCATTAAAGTACCTAGCTAATGCAATAAGTTTATATATATGTCAATGATTATTTATCGATTTTTGATCTTTTTTTGTCAAAATTAGTACTCCCTCCGTCCCATAAAGTGTTACCCATTTTGATTAAAGTAGAAATTAAGGGAGGGATAATTTTGTGTTGACTTTCTAAAAATATCCTTGATATGATGGGTAAAATTAGGATGTGATGTGTTGATTATTAGGAAAAAGGTATGATATGATAGGTAGGGTTTGAAAAAGTAAGGGGTAAAAGTGGTTTTTTAATATAAATTGGTAGGAGATTGTGGGACACAATTTTTTTGAATGGTGTAAATCTTTTTAGGACGGAGGGAGTATATATTTTGACCTCAAATAAATAAGGAATATATTAAATATTGATACAAAAATAATTTTATTAGATTTATTATATCAATCAAATGTTTACAGTAAGCTTTTAATTATAAAATTCAGCCACTTAAATTGGGACAGCATCGTCTAATACAATTGCTGTATACACACTAAATTATATAACTCGCTTTATGGTAATTAATATCTAAATCTTAAATACACATAATCTTTTGAAATTAAACTAGGGCATTTTCCAGCAAATATAGTCTTGTATTACAATTTTTTTTTAAATCTTCTATCTGTATTTGATTAGAATCACACAAAAGGCTTGAGCTTGGGCTTGAGGGGGAGGAGTATGCCCAAGATACCAGGATAAGATGACATCCACGGTGCAAAGCTGAACGGTGTCCGTGAATTCGAACCAGCGCCCCCTCGGTATCCACGTCCTCTGCCGCGTTGACTTCGTCCGCGGCCTCCGCTGAAATTGCCACGACCGCCGCTGAAAGGACCACGACCGCCACCAGTGTTCCGTCCGCCGCTGCCTTGAGGAGCGTGACTGGTGTCGCTGCCTGAACCCTCTGAAGCCGCGACCCGCTGACTGCCGAAGGACTGCCCGGAGGAGAAAAGGGCTGTGCCGCCGGTGTTGGTGTCATCCAAGTCATTTTGTTGTCCTTCAAGAAGGAGAAGGGCAGACCGTGTCTCAATGAAGGACGGCAACGGAACTTGGTATTGAAGGAAATTCACTTGAGAACGCAGGTCTTGTGGTAAGCCCCGGATGAGTTGAAGGACTAGGGCATTTTCAGAGACCGGCGCATCCACATCCGCGAGGCAGTCCGCGAGATTTTTGAGGGTGTGGCAGTAATCCGACATCGACTTTGTGCCCTTGACGGTCGTCCGGAAGCCGTTGCTCTAGTTGCATAGCTCGGGCGTTCTTGTTGTCGTGAAAAAGACTGTGAATGGCTTTCCACAGGTCCGCGGCAGTGGTGTTTGAGGTGATGACAAGGTCGGAAATCTCTTCAGAGACAGTAGAGAGGATCCAGCCTTGTAGAAGTGCATCAATTTGGATCCATTCTACATCGCCGTCCTGGGATGGTGTTATGTTTCCGGTGAGATAGCCCTCGAGATTGAATCGCCGAGCAAGAAGGAGAAACAATTTGCTCCATTTTTTATAGTTTGGGTCGGTGAAACTAAGTTGCACCGGAATGTGTAATTTGATGTTTGAGATGGTAGTGAAGGCAAGAATTTGAGGTTACACCGGTGACCGTAGAGGAGGAGTCGGCTGAGGCCATGGGGAGTGAAGTAACAGAAACAGAGATAGTAGGGGGGAGCTGAAAACCAAAAGCAGAGACAGTAAAGGGAGCCGAAAAAACCAGAGAGAGAGGCAGGGGAATTTCAGAGGGGTAGGGGGAAGCCGATTGGCTCTAATACCATGAAACAGAATGTAAATTTCCACTATGTAAAAACAAGAGATAACACAGGGAGTCAGGGATATATATAATCCCCTAAGGAGTTACAAGGGCTGGAATTTGGAGAGACAAATACATGCATGTAATGCTAGAGTCACAAATTTAAAGTTCACAAAATTCACAAACTTGCCTTTTTAGCACTTTTCTAGAAATAAGATGCACTCAAATATTAAAAAATACTTTAATTTAAATTCCACAAAAGGCAAGTTTGTGAATTTTGTGAACTTTAAGTTTGTGACTCTAGCATTTTCCATCTACAATATTAAATATGAACAATATTTAACAGCTATGTTCAATGAAAAATTTTGAGAAAAAAAATGTTCTCTTCATCAAATTTGTTTCTAGAAAAACAAGAAAAATAATACTCCACATTAATAAGCTAGAGAGTACTTAACGTCTATTCTCCCAAAAAAAATTGTCCAAAGGTAATTAAAATCTACTAACAAATGCCGTTCTTTTTTGGTGTTTTAATTTTAGAAATCATCCTAAATAGGACTAAAACATACACCAAAATAGGACTATCATGTTTTTTTCCCGAAATAGGACTTTGCATTGTGATAATTATTTATTAGGTGTGGGTTCAACTTGGACCAAGATTTTTTTAAGTTGCAAGAAATTAAAAAGGAGAAAGACCAAAATAAGATAAAAACATTGAAAATATACCAAAATAGAACTTCCATGTTTTTTTCCCGAAATAGGACTTAATTACCAAACATGGTCATACATTACCAAAAGAGTACAGTAATGTGCACATGTACACTGCCACATTACCACAGTGCAAAGTCCTATTTCAGGAAAAAAAACATGAAAGTCTTATTTTGGAACTTTTCTCTATGTTTTAATCTTGTTTAAATCCTCCTTTTCATCCCTATTTTTTTTACCCACCTATCACATTATTATGCCTTTTCACTAGTATAATTTACTCATTACATGTTACTTGTATCTATCAAATTGAGAATAAAATTTGAAAATCAACTATAAACATGTACTCTTCGTTATTAACTAAAATAAGAATTGTTTTGACAAATAGAGAGAATATATTTTAATTAGACTCTTGATGTATTCAACCTCTCTTTCTTCTTCTCCCTCCTCTTGCCCCTCACTCCCTTCTTTTTTTCTTCTTCTTTCGCCCCTATATATTTTTTCGATCTTATTTATTTGTTTTTTGTTTTTCAACTTTTTTGGTTATTTTTTTATTGTATTTATTTTTTGTTTCTTGATATTTTAATATTATTTGTTTGTTTAAGATTTTTTTGGCGATTTTTCTCGTAGCTTTTTATAATGCTTTCTATTAACAAATGTACTGTCCGCTTTGTTTTTCTGCTTTACCTTTTTATATTGTTTTGTCCTATTTTTTTTCTATTTATGCATCCTTTTATTTTCATAAAAATGAAGTAAAAGACTAATTTAAATTTAAATTCGTTCTTTTTTTGTGTGGAATGTTCTCTTTTAATGTTACACTTATTCTTATTTCAGCTTAATTTATTTTACCATATAATGGGGTTATTTTATAGATCATGTTAATTAAACAAAAAAGATCATACCATATATCTTATTTTTTGTTTTTATATGGTATTTTGTGTTTGTTAACTTTTTTTATTATTTATTTTCAATCTTTACTATAAACAATTAAACAAAACTAGTGAATATTAAATAATAAATAAATAAATAAAATATTTGTCAAATATGTTTTTTTTACAATATTTATCTTCACTTTTTTTTTTTGCGTAACCTTTGTCTAATACTCCGTATTTTTTTTATTTTTATACTATTTAATTGTGAACTTAAAAAAATTGTTTTCTAATCTTTTTGGTTAACAAAAATGTCTTATTCTATCTTTTTTTTGTTTTATTTCATTAATATTTATTGTTTGTCTTATTTCTGGTCTGTTTTTTTTATATTTTGTAAACAATAAAAAATATTAAATAAGCTCAAATGAATAACCCGTGACAACTCGAAACAAAGGGCACAAATGATCCAATGCACCCATTTTTCCCCAACCTTCTTGCACAACATTGAACAATGAGCGTGTTCGTGAATTTTTTGGGGGCGAGCCGGGGTGAGGATTTAGGGGGTAGAAACCTTTATGGAGTATCAGAAGCGCTCCAAAAAAGCGATGGCGGTGTTAGTGGTCCGTTAGCATGTGTGTGTCTGAGAGAAAAAGTGACGTAAATAACATCCAAATGGTAAGTGTTAAAACACAAGTGTTAGGTGTTAGACAAGATAGTTATATACACAACTCCCCTTTAATTAGAAAATGCAAAAACCACCTCTACTCCCACCCACGTTTCGTTCCAACCTTCTTACACAACATTGAACAATAGCGATTGTGTCTGTGAATGTCTATGAGAAGGTGCGTGGGGCAATTGATAGGGTGCCCCTAGCACGGCACGGTCCTCTTTAATTTGACGCTTCCATTTACCATTTTGACCCTAACTTCTTTATCTCCCTTCCCTGTCAACCTGAAGTCTTCAACTCATCAGTCATACTCACAAACACACACAGACACATAATGTCACATGAACCTTGAAGTGATCTAACATTGAAAAGTAACAAGTGAACACTCAACAAAGTTAAAATGGGTTGTGGGGGTATTTAGTGTACTGTATGTTGTGTTATTAAGTAAATCAAATGAACAATAAGCTAAGAAAGCCAACAATGCAATTTTTGGTTTTTGGGGACTTGTGGCATACCTGCAAAGTTTCTTCCTTAAGATCCTCTAGAGCTTTGTTCACTGCATATATGATCATTTTCTTTACCTGTTGAAAATGTATTGACACACAAGAACAGTAAATGAAAAAATATAAATCAGAAGTGCATAATTGGCTCCACGATATTTTCTTTTTTTGGCAAGGAATATTTGCCAGGCATCTCGAGAAGGAAAGTGGGAACTTAATTGGGGTGCGGGTATTTTAGTGTATTGTGTAATTAAGTAAATCAAATGAATAGGTAAGGGAGAGTTTGGAACAAAGGAAATGATTTTGGAAAACCATTTTATATGTTTGGTAGGTGGCAAGGGGGGTATCTGGAAAACCTTTAACATGGACATTCATTTTCCTTGAAAGCAATGCTAGAAAAAAAGACATCGTACCTCGAGTTTATCTTCCTTGGCCCTGTGATTTTGAGGAAGAGTGCGGAATTCTTCAGTCAACCTAATGCATTCAGGAATACTTTCAGGAGAAACAAAGTCAACAGCAACTTTTATGCATGACTGCCAAGTAAAAAAAAAAGAGGTCATCAATCGCTTGGAGAAAAAGCCCATGATCCATGAATGATTGAACTTATCAGCAAACATCATATAAGGCAGTCATCTTAAACTAAACAGTTTTTTCCCAAGATTGTAGCAAAGTACAGAGTATCAAATTATGTAGAAAGCCACGGCGATAAATGTTGAAGGTGTATTGATCAAATGATCAACAATTGAACTAGGCGTAAAAGCTAACTTACCTTTAAATTTCTAACTTGATGAGGGCAGCCAGCTGGTATGAAGACAGCATCTCCTAACTTCTGAATGAAAGTCCACGGTTCAATCCCTGTCAAACAGAATCTTATCAAAGGATAGCAAAACATAATTATCGAAGAATTATGTATGGAGTTTGGGAACAGTTGGACTAGAAAACTAACCGTATTCTTCCTTTAGCCTCCTTTTATGCTCAACAGTCAAGTAAAACGTTTCATCATGTATGGGGTGAACAACCTAAGTGGTTGAAAGAAGGTAAAGATAAAAAGTAAATACAGCATGTAATGAGATGAAGAAATCTAAAAAACCACTCCAGCAGCCTAAGAATATTACGCATGTAATGGATATTAAAAGGGAGGATTCTAAGAGAGGTCGTGAATGTGAATCCTAAGAGGAGTTTTTTCTAAATTTTGGTCGTCAAACAACCTTGAGAGTGGCTATTTTGGTCCTTCAAGCTCCAATTCAAAGGGACAAAAAGTAGCTACGTGGAAGGATGATTAAGAGGAAATTGTAACACCTGTTATCTTAAACACCAACAGACAGAAACCGCACCCCAAAGTAAATACCTGTGGCAATGGGTAACAATGAATGTGCCTGAACTCCTTGAAGTGCTTCCTCAGATAATTTTCCAAATTTGGAACATCTTCCCTCCTAAAGATATCCCATAGCGCACCACCATCAGTATCTTGATCTTCAAATGCTTCAGAGTCATTATTACTAGTACTTGATTGCACATTGCAGTTAACGATCATACTTCTACAATCCTCCCCAGCACTATTTGCAACTACGTCTGGAGTGCAAGTCATACCACTTGATACTCCCTCAATGTTACCAACTACCTCTAAGTCCATGGAAGCGGCAGACTTTTCTTTTTTAATTGAACCATGCGAAGGGAATTCGCCATTCACTGCATCTTCACTTTTTTGCAGTTCCTGCAGATCCTGAGCAGTGTGCTGCTCTTTCAACTTTTGTATAACAGAGAGTTCTTTCTGTTGTAACTTTACTCTATGAGTATGTGTCAACACATTAACCTACAACAACAAGATTAAAATTAGTGTAGACTGTAGACACCTCACAATAGAAATCATATTATTGGTCTTTTCCACTTTTATGGAACTACAGTGCATTAGACAATAATATATCAACAATAAACAGATACAACATGGAACGTGATATTGTGAACCTTAGTTTGTTAATTTGCAACTAATTTGATGCACAATATTTATTATATGATTGCATGGACAAACATTAACTGAAATGCACTTGTTTTATTAATGAAATATTTTTTAATAGAGCAAATGTATATTAATATTATGTTACGTTCTTATGCAGTTCATTTTAAATCCTAAAAATCATAAGAAGTATGCGGCCTAGACAGTCTAGGTGTCCCTCCACTGCCCGCCTTGTGCTTAGCACCTTCTATAACACTGGTTTTTACAGTAACTGGAAAAAGATGGTTAAAAAAGGATCACATACCGCATCTGACATATCACAATGTAGCTTTGTTACAGAGTCTCCACGGCCCAGTTCTTGTTGAACTCCATAAGCAATATATGTCTTTGGTCCCATATCTGGTTTCAAAGACTTGGCTGGCAACTTCGTGGCAAGATTTAAGTACCCACTTTTAGGGCTTGTGTATGCTTTGAAGGGAAGACAGTTTTCAAACTCAGCAGCATGACGAGGCAGCATATCATGAAATAGACTGGATGGAGGCCAATCTTTCAACTTGAGGATTTGAGGCCAATAATATATGTCAAATAGACCTTCCATATATCCTTTAAAAAATTTAGCGATATTAATTTTAACCTGCACATCATCCCAGGAATAAAATGAGCACCATACAACCAGTAAAGAGAAGTAGAACTGATGACTACATATCATTGTCAAAGGCTGTCAAATACATCCCACCAAGATATGCAATGGTTGACTTTTTGGTCAAAGACTTCAGCTTTTGATCAATTTTTTAATTGATGAATGGTGTTTTTGAGGCTGTGTGGTGTGGCTAAGTGTCAAGGAACCAACTCAACCAAAAGCTCAAGCTTATGGTTGTAGGCCCATGAATGATTTTTATATTCTAACACTTAGGAAGATCTTTGAAGAATTTTAAGGATCCAGCTGGTAGGTCAATGAAGTTTTTTTATGAAAAAAGTCTGCCATCAGCATTGGTCAAACCCTGTTCAGCTTGAAGAAACTAAGCACGTGGACCTTGATTGCAATTTTATCAAAGATAGGCATAAGAACGGAGAGATTCGATTGCCAATATGCCATATGTAGCTTCTGTCTAGAAAGCTTCTAAGAAGTTCTTAGTAAAATTTAGTCATTATTTGGCACACATATTTAGGGGCTTTATGCATCTTTGGTTTCCTTCAATATGCTGTGCTATTCTTTAGTCATTATATCCATGATAATGGGAACTAGTTATCTACTTATGTTTGACCATATCTCTTGACTAGATCCATCATAGTAGCTAATCATTTACGTTTGTACCATATTAGGTACCCCCCCCCCTCCAACTTTTTTGGAAGTTTGACTTTTATGGGTCAAATTCATAAACTTTGATCAAATTTTGTACATCGAGTACATTTAGTTATTATGTGAATTTTATACCATAAATTCATTTTGATCATGGTTGCTCATTTATTTCCTATATTATACTCCCCTATATATTCTAATCAAGATCTGTATTAGGTCAAGTCTTTACAAGTGTGAAGTAAATTTTACCTATGGGGGATCTTTTGGGGGTAATGTATAATTTAACATGATATGAATATGATAGTCTAGTCTGATTGTGGTTTGTGAAGCAGCTTGATTGGGGTCTGTCGTGAGTATCCCACATTAATTAGTGGATGAGTCTAGCATAGAGGTTTGGGGTGATTGTCCCTTGAGGAGGCTATTGAGGTGAGTTAGACCCAATGTAACAAGAAATTCTGAAACAGAGATATAATAGATATGACCATCATTGATAATTGTTGGAGAAAAAAATAATGTACCAACCTCGCACCAATCCAAGCAGTTAACAGCAATAACATCTAGAAGCTTCTTATGATGTTGACTACTTTTCTGGCGGAAGGCACGTTGCATAACCTGTGGTTCCCAACTCAATCCTGAAGTAGTTTCCAGAACATTACTGACAACTATAGGCTCTCCATTACGCCAATGCCATTGAAAATGATCCATATCCTTATGCAGAATATCTTTAGCTTTAGGACAGTACAGATAATTGTCAGTAGAATCCTCCCTAGATGCCGCCTTGCATACATTGTTATTGGGTTCATTCTTGTCAAAAGATCTCAAACAAGAGCACCGTGTCTGTGAAATTCCAGACGATTCGTCCAACCTGCAAGCTTCTGCCATTTCTTCTGCTTCAGCCAGCAGTTCTGAAACAAAATTCTTCTCCATTATGTGTTTTAATACTAAAGTTCCCTCATTGCAACCACCAATATTCTCTGGTGGACAAGGAATGTCACCAGTTTCACCACATCTCCATTCATTACGGCAATCATCAACGGTCTTTGGTAGACAACACGATTGATCAATATCACCTCGTTCCACTTCAGATTTCAAATCAATTTCTTCAATGGCATTTTTTTTATCAGTATCAGAGGATTCGTCTTCAGTTTTAGGCTTTTTATTAGTACCACTGGGTTTCACTTCAGATTCTAACTCAACTTCTTCAATGGCAGTTTTTTTATCAGTATCATGGGGCTTCAGTTCAGATTTTAACTCAATATCTTCTTGAAATGATTTTAACTCAAAGTCTACGGCAGCAGGTTTTTTATCAGCCTTTTTGGGCCTTCCTTTACTACCAGGTTTTCTAGCAGGTTTGCTATTAGTGATTCCATGCAGGTACTCTATCCCATTGTTATGGTATTGGACAACTACTTTTTCACTCCCCTGTAGGTGGCCATTCCTCATCTCTTTGCAGCAGGTTAGGCAAAGATCAAATGAGCACTTTGAACAGCTTCTATGAAAATCAAAAATTGATGTGCTGCAATTGTTGCTGTAAGGAACATGAGGAAAAAAACACTTCAGGAAAGCAAAATTTTAAAGATACTACATTTGTCCCAAATTAAACTTCCCATTTGCTTTTTTAAGGAGTTTAAGAAAAAGTGAAACTGCTTGGTTGAGATTTATACAAAGGATTGAAAAACAAGGTGAACCATTCAACAATTTCGTTAATGGGATGTTTGGAAACTTGAATTTGGATTTCAAATCCAGAATTGGCTCAAATTCCATGTTAGGGAACCTTAAAAAAATTTGGATTCGGATTTGAGGCAAACTCTTCTAATTCATAACAAAGCTCAATTTGAAATTCATATACCTCCCCTTGTCATTTGAAATTCATGAATTCAAATTTTAAAATTGAAACGCAAGAATTGAAATTTTGAAATGGAATGTTAGTTCCCAAACACTACCTAGAAGGAATGTACAGTTTATTTTGGGACAAAGTGGACAACAGGAAAGGAAAGTGGGAGTGTGGGACATGGGAAGTTTATTTTGGAATAAAGGGAGTATATACCAATAAAAAGATCCACTCAAAAAAAAAAAAGTAACCATAAAAAGATATATAATGAAGAGGAGGGCTTTTTCCAAAAACCTACCAATACATCCGCTCCTTCTCGTCGCAAATGACTCTTTGTATATGTGACTCTGAAAGTGTTACGCCTTTGGAAAAGATAAAAAATAAATTAAATCTCTAATTTTCTCATCATAAACTAGTGTTCATGAGCCACTCATATGGATATCCTTTTATAAAGGGTGCATTAACCTCTACACAAAACCATGCAACTCCGAAGCATGCTAACATGACCGTTCATCATATGTTCTCATTTCATGCACTTCAATAATGTTCTAAGAAGTGGTATAATCATCTCAACCAGTAAGCCATGATATACCATCATCAAGATTCAAGCAAATGAATACCTTGAATTTTGGCTTCAACCTCTCTCTCCATCATTTGATCCGCATTAATTTGTCTCAAGAAAGGAAGAAGAACTAGCAAGATATATTTGGAGTAACGAACCCTCTCCTCTGCGCTAACTACAAATTTTGATTCCTTCATTTGCTGTAGAGAAAGATTTTTAAAGGCCGGGTCAGTATGCATCAACTTATATCCAAGAGAAATGACACATATTAAAAACCTACAAAAGAACAAAAGAAGCCAACCTTCCGTGGCCCATCCAATCTCAAGCATGCTTTGCAATTGCAGTTCCGGCGACAAACAGGGCATTTTTCTGCAAAAGCCTCCTCTGGCATACCAGGGTACCTTCTTTCAAGGAAACCAACAGAGATTATGAAAATGAATTGTAAAATCTTTTTTAAAGAAAAAATTAAGTTGTTAAATACAACCAAAACAGTGGGCCATGGGTTTGCTCAGAAGCACAATACAAGAAATTTCCTTTCAAAAGTTCCTATGAGAGGAGATCAAAGTAAATATTGCTAAATAAGCTTCCATGATAGTATTTAGGGTCAGTTCGGGTCCCATAAATGTTAGGGAAAGAAAATGAGTAGAGAAAGAGAAGGCAAATTCAAAAGAGAGTAAATTCCATAATTGGTCCTTTATAGCAGAGGGGTTTCCCTATTTAGTCCTCAATTATCAAATATTACCCCAGTGGTCCTTTTTTTATAGGTATCTTTCCATAAATAGTCCTTTTTTTGATCTTCTGTCATGTTAGTGTTAATTTGAAGGCTAAATATATAATTTGACATCAACATTATGTCTAGTGACGTGTTCTGATATTGGTTAAGCGGATAACACAAAAATAATGACTATGATTGTGGACTAGGATTCCAACGAAAGACCACATTTGTAGACTATGTTTGTAGTAGAAAGCGGCCTTAATTCACAAACGACGCAAACGGAACAACCTTTGGAATTGTGTATGACAAAAAAGATATATTATCATTGTTAAATTACACTTTTAGCCCTCAAATTAACACCAACATGATAGAAGATCAAAAAAAGGATTATTTGTGGAAAGATACCTATAAAAGAAAGACCACTGGAGTAATATTTGATAATTGAGGACTAAATAGGGAAACCCCCTATTATAAAGGACTAATTACAGAATTTACTCTTCAAAAGAAAAGAGAAATTTGGGAAACTTTTAAACTTGGTTCAAACTCGATAAATCCATTTCAGATTTTGTTCAAGCTCAGAACTTTATATATTCTATTCTAATAATCTTATAAAGAATTAGGAATCTGAAAATAATAAACTTTAAGAAGTTTTAAACAAATTAGGTTAAGCCAAATTTTAAAAAGAAAAACTATTTTACTAAGCATTCTTTATATCTTTTTCTATAATAATCACTTTAAAAAACATAGCATTTCAAGTCAAAATAAAGTTTCTACCAAACACAAGATATTGCAATTTGCAGAAAGTCACTTGCAAATACCCAGATGTATGCACTTCTGAGACATCTCCAAGTGGCCTAAATTTTTCATTTTTTTAACATTTAATTCAACAAAGGCCAAACTCTTCGACAAAGTGAGTGCTCTAAATGCAAATTTTAAGTATAAGCATGCAAGTAAAATGTAAAAGGCAAAATAGGTGGCAGCACATTTGTGCATACAACATACCATCTAGTGATGCACAATAAACAGTATCTCTTTGTTTTGCAGCTGGTACAATGAACAACCCTTCCTTTATCATTTCTCTTACATTGGTGACATGTGTTGTTCTTCTCCTCATTACCCTGTATTAACCAAGTTGCAGATTTATCAGCATAATTAGCAAATGCATAATGAATAAATCATTTGACAAATGATTCAAGCTGTTAAAAGTTCCTGTCTTTCTAAAAATAAGCTTCCTTATTCTGATTTTTAGCTCAGAAAAAGCATCATAAACCATTACTTCCTAACTGTAAAGAGGGCTTTTACTCACCACTTTTCCCTTAGCTTGATCATCTTCTCTATTCCCTCTATCTTGATCTCTTCTTGACCTTTTATTAGTGCTCTTATTCTCAGTAGTGCCTTCATTCCCCGCTTCGCTTCCACTCTCCAAATCCTTCCTAGAATCCAAACATTTATCAGCAGAGTCTTTCCCTTCATCAGCACCACCACTTTCAGTTTGATTTTTACTTTTTCTAGGCCTTCCTCTTTTACGCTGAGGCTTCTGCATCTCTCCCATTTCCACGGGAGTAGCAATATCATCCCCACATCGTACTTGGTTTCCCGACCAAGAAATGCCCAGACTTTGTCCCTCCCTAACAACCCCACTTTCCACTGGCACCCCAGAAATCCCTTTTCCTCTGGAAGCTCCATCCTTCTCAGCTAGATTCTTCACCCGCGGCCGTCCTCTTCTCGGAGGAGGCTTCTGTGGCTGCAAAGAGGGAACTTTCTCAATCTCCACCTCTTCCTCCAAATACCCAGTAACTGGAGGAAAATCTGCCTCACTTCTACTACTCTTGGATGGCCTTCCTCTCTTACGCTTCTTCTCCGGCAGAGACAAATCTTTCAAATTCTCCTGCTTTACCAATTGCTCAGCCGCAGCCGGGAAATTTGTCGAATTGACGGCTTCCTCTGCCTGATCCCGACCCGGAAGCTTGTCTTCTTCGTCCAAACGGTGCCGCTCCGGGCTAATGTTCAAATTTAAATCGAGCTCCAGCTTAACTTCAAGCCGGTGCCGTTCCTTCATAGCTCCGTCTTCCATCCCCCCAGTAATTTTTTTTGCTATAATTGGGGAAAATTACTAGCAGTTGACTGAACGAAATCCGTTAAATAAATAAAAAGCAAGAGCAAAAATAGAATTAGATGAATACTAAGTTAATCGGATTGCCGGTAGTCCGGAAAAAGTGCGCCGGCGCTCCGGATTTGAGACCGGAGTCCGGGCAAGTGCCGAGCGGGTTGGGAAATCGGGCTTGGGTTGTGGGTATCGAATCCGGATAAATGCCAAATTGCCATTACACGTTTCAACCTACTACTCGTAATAATTTAAAGGAGTAGTTATCTAAATTAATAATTTTATGGCGGACCATTTTTTAGGTTATTCAGTTATTGTGGGCCTTTGTTCACGGTTCTCTTTTTGATTGAGTCACAGTGTCTGTTCACCTTCTTTTTTAGAAAACAATAAAGATAAAATATATTTTTAGTCCTCGTAAAAATTAATAAAGTTTGTTTTTAGTTTTTTAAAATATGGAATATTTTTTATTCAATTCATCTATGTAAAATGCACGGATAATAATATATTTTCCCAATCTTGCACCCACGACAAAAATTATTTAATATACGAAGTATTTAATTTCATTTACATTCACCCTCATCGTTATGAAATTTTAATAATAAAAAATAAATTACTTCCCCCGTTTCAAAAATAACTTATTATTTCTTTTTTCGAACATCTCATAAAAAACTTCATCTTTCTTTTTTCTAAAAACTTTAAACAACTCACAATCTTTCTCTCTCAATCACTTTCAATAACTTATTTTTACTTTATTTAAACTTTGTGTCAGGTAAAACTAAACGTCTTCGTTTCAAAGGGAGAGAGCATTATTTTGTCAAATGTCCTTGGGAAAATATTACATATCCAAATTTTATTTGTGAATTTAAGATTAATAAAATCCAAATTCCATATTAATTTTTTTTTGCTTAGAGTCGTGATAAAGTGACATTTTATTAAAAATAACATTTCATGAAAACATTTTAAATATTATATCCATATTTGATAAATTTTAAAATCCACAAACCAATTCTGAATCTCTGTGAAAAAAATCACGTGTCACAAATTTTAAACAATATTTCTTAAAATCTATTAACAAAAATTAATAAAAATAATAAATTAAAAGTATTTTTCGACACCAATAATTTAATACTCGGTTTAATTTTTATATTTTAATTCATTATAATTTGACACGCAAAACGAAATAGAAAATTAAAAAGGAATGGAGAGAGTACATGTGAAGTGGCTGTCATTGGATTACAATAAAAATATTTAAGTGTTGAGTGGTTACCGCTAGACCTCTCCAACTTATTAAAAGGATGAGCCCCATCTCCGAGGGTCTCTTAGACCCGGCCAGACAATCATGAAATGAGGTAAATTGGATTGTGAGGTAAATTGGATTTTAATCGCAGATTGGTGACAAATAATGCACCTGACACCTGGTACTTACAGTTGTTAGGAATCAAACTCGAGTCTTACCCCTCTGGCACTATTTGCCTTTGCCAATTGCGCGTGTGATAGAAATCTCAATTATAGTGTGTGATCGAGTTTTGCCTTTTCAAAATCTCATGTTCAAAGATGCTCTTTTTTTATGAAAGGATACCCAGCAGCACTCAATGCTTGAATGCAAGCTATATACGAATCATAAAGAAATCGAAATCCCACACTATATCTAACATAAGAAAAGCAAACAAACAGGTTCTCATTGCTGGTCTTCATCTTTGAGTTGAAGAATTTATAATTGGTTTAAGTCCAAACTCCATGGGAGGGTAGCTCAAAGCTTACTAGGAAGAGGAACAAGCAGGTACTTGGTGTGACGCCCCTGCGCAATTATCTTTCCAGTTTCTTTCTTCCTCAACTCCACGCTCACAACGGCTATTGTCTTCCCCACGCGAAGACACTTCGCCTCTATCTCAACCTCCTCCTGATACACACACATTACTTAGTACTGCATGTAATGTCAAACTTATTGCAACCATTTTGGCTTTGAAACAAGTCAAACTACACAATATTGGCCTCTTTCATTAACTTTTTATTCCAATTATCTAGACTCCAATGCTATTTACTTTCCAATTACCAAGTACCATTTCTTTAGTTTTATAGCACACATTCCATTTAGGTTCCACTTACCAGTTTCCAAAATCCAGACATAACAAGGCCATAATGACACTATCTTCTTTCAGATCCTATTTCACATTCTGACTCTAGTCTCAGACTCATCTAGGAGAACACTGACTGCATCACTTAGGGTCTGTTTTGAAAATTAAAATTCTACGGAATTGATTTGGATGTAATTGAATTCTCTAATTCTAATTCATTGTTAGCACTACTAATTTCAAATCCACATATTTTTGTGCTACCAAACAGCAGAATTGAAATTGTAGTCCCCAATTCCATAGTTTGAATTCCATGTACCAAACGAAACCTTATACTCCATCTGTGCCGAGATAAAATTCATGTTTTAGTTTAAGATGTCTGATTGAAGTTATAGTTTTTTAACGGGCTGAAGTTATTATTCAATTCATTGTGTTTGAAAATTAGTCTAGAATTTAAAAATAAAAATTACTCTTAATATTTCTAAAAGCTACGGAGCTTAAAAATTTTACCAAACTTTATAGAGAAAATACAATTTCGAGCATTCAAAAGCACTTACATGGAGAAAAGCAGCATCCAAGTAGGAAACGTTAATCTCAACCGAGACCCCGGAGGAGGGTGCACCGACGGTGTGAATGACGACCGATCCGACGATGTCCACCAGCGCCGCGGTGGCTCCGCCGTGCAGGAAATTGCCCGAGTTCTGTCCCAATTCACTAATAAATCAGACACACATACAGGAGAGAGAGATCGATTTCACTTAGTATTACAGACGAAAAGGCAATGGCGAATCAATTACCACAAGACGGGGGGGAACTTTGAAAGTGGCGATAAGGCGGCCGCGCTCGACGAGGACGACCTTGATTCCATAGCAGATGAAGGGCTCGAAGAATCTCGGGGGTAACTCATCAACTAGTGGACCATATTCCCCTCCTTTCTCCAGGGCTTTTTTTACCGACTCCAGATCCATTCCTTTTTTGTGGAAAACAAGAAATTCGAAAGAAACAAAGCTATATGGAGAAATATACTTGCTCCATCCCAAAATTAATTTTTTTGACCACTAATACTTCTATAGGAAGAGATGTTTTTATTACGGAGTAATATATTCTACACTTCTTAAAACCTAAAAATTTGTTGTTATCGGAATCACTCTTTAATATCATTATTTAGAATTGAACACTTAACCTCTTATTAATTTTTAGATAAATTATACGCACGGAGTCGCACTCTTTGAGTGTAAATTACTCGAGTATATGAAAAATATATTTATTTACTTTAAAGTATGAAAAAATTTACGTTGGAGAATGTAAATTACTCCAAAGTATGAAAACTTATCTACTTAATGTATAACGGTTTCCATATATAAAAAATCATTGTTATGTCCTCAAAGGACTTATAGCTAAATAATTCTCAAAAATCGAGAATATAATACTATCACAAAGTGATATTGAAAATCTTACGTTGTAAAGGACATTTTTGGAAAATTACTCTTATATTTTTCTTATTTAGATGCATTCTAAGCATATATATTCCTCTATTTTTAACTGCTACAGCTTTCTTGATTTATTAAAAAAGTAAACATACAAACTACAGAGTACATACATTTCTATTTAGAAATGAAGTATGCGACTCACAAGTTTCACCGTCCTTTAGTTAATAAATTTTAGTTACACATTTTTTACTTTTAGCAATTTTTTCAATCTTGTTAAGTCAAGAAAACAATAAAAAAACATAACAAATCATTTTGATGATGTAGATTAGTTATACCATATGAACTAGTCTATATCAGGTCCAACCGAGACTAAAGATAGCAAACAAAGTTTGCTAAATGGTTTTACAAAATGAGAATGAGCAAAAGATCGATGTGAAACTATTTATTGTGTAATAACTAATGTTATGAGAGAATGATAAGGCTAGAATTTATAAATGCATATAGAGGGGGCTTTATGAAGTTAGATCACTAAAATGAACTACAATGCATGTATTTATAGGAGGTGAATCGTCATTATCAATTTAAATTCACATGTGACATTAGCTACACTACATTTGTGATGAGTTTTTATAGACATGTAAAATTTGAGAATGAACACTGAAAGCATCTAACGTGTATCATTATGTTTTCGGTGCTATCAAACGTGCATGGATTCTCTAACTATAAAATTATCTAAACTCATATCAGAGTTATTTTTATTTTTTAGAGAATGATTATAACATGTAATTATGAATAGAGATATCAATTATAGTAACTACACTAAATTTATAACTATATACCCAATCAAACATGAATTGTTTTGTAGAGAAAGATTACAATATATGATTACACGCAATTACACTAACTTTCATACTCTTTTATTTCACAACTTTTTCTTTTGATTGTCGAAGAACCAAATGACATCTATTCTTTAGCGCTATCTCATCTTAGCCCTGTTTGTCGATTGGCAACCGTAATTATTATCGCTGCCAATTGACAAACAGAAATGAAATATAAACGAGAGTGTGATTTGAAGGAGTATTAGAAATCAGTCAAAGATCAGGGGAAAGAGGCATGATGATGCCTTCTGAATGCAGCTGCAGATTTCTTAAAACCTAGCAATTTCTTGAACAGCTTCATCACCAGGAATGTGGAGAACAGATGACTCCCGTTTACACCGCCGCCGTTGAACGCTCTCACCGTCGTATCCGGCGGCGGAACGACATCCGGCAGCCGTCGGGACTCCAAACCGCCGATTCCGCGGTTCCCCTGCCGCAGATCGTCGTTGAAATCCTCCCACAACATGTCCATCTTCTCATCCGTGAATCCGCCCGCCCTGAGCCCCGAGGAGTTTTCCCGGCAGCCGGCGATCATCTCCGGCTGAGAGGGAACTCTAGATGGACGAGTGCAGAAATGTGGTGTGACCATAACTCGATCGATCAAAGCTCAAGCTTTAATGGCAGACTCCTCTAAATAGAGCGCGTACGATTTATCGGTCAAAATTGAAGGAATTGTGGATTACTCCGTATCATATATGCCGTGTATAAATATATAAATATATATACTCCGTATACGGAAAAAGGAGAGTTGTTCAAAAATAATTAATGAAGGGGTAGCAATGGTTTGGATCATCGCCGGATTGTGAGCATTGGTTACGTTCTTGTTATTGAGCCATTTTGATACTCCTTATATATCCCCAAAAGACTCATTTTTTAGGATATTTAATTGAAATTATTTTTAATTTAATATTTTGAAACATAAAAATTGGTATAAATTTTAAAAATAAAGATTATAATGATTATAATTTTTTCTAAAAAGATTGTAATGCTAGAATATCAGGTTTTAGACGCATATCTTGAATTTAACTAAGAAGAAATACCTAAGTAGAACTAAAACATATCTTACATATTAAAATAAGATCTTCAATGTTTTTATACAAAAATAGAACTTATACTACTATGGAGTATAAAAAAGCATTGTGGAATATCAATGCACAATGATAAATTATGGCATTTCAAAGTGTGAACACTTCTATTTAGAAGATACTCTATCCATTTCATAATTATATTCTTTTTTTTATTTGGGTTGTCCCAAATTTTTTTTTCTCTTTAAGGAAACAAATATGTAGTTCGTACAATCGTATCAAATCAACTCTGGAAGAGAATTCTGAGACGGGGGGTGTAAAACCATGAGATCTTGTTTTGATATAGATTTTATATTTTAGTCATATTTAGATTGATTTATTTCTAATTTGATGTTTAAAAAAAATTAGGTGGAACTAATGTTTGGAACCAAAAAGAGAGAGAACAAAACCTACCCACCCACATTACCACATAGTCATATTTGTGCGTGTAGTGTGTAAATGATTTATACGCATCACAGTGGGAATTGGTGTTTTAATGAATGGAAATGCAACAAGTCAACTAAATTTGACACAAGTGATTCGAATCATCACTTTGAACCCCCCTTACATTAAAGGAATGGAAGACAAACACAAAAAAGCTAAAGCAACGAAAGAAAGAAAGAGGAAGGAGAATCGGATTTTTGTTGGGATTAAAAATAGCTCATAGGGTATTGACTATTTAGCTAGCTAGCTCTGATCTCATTGATCTTAATCATCTTATGTTGCTTCTGGATCGAAATAAAGAAAGCCCCCAATGTCTTCCGTTTAGTCTAATATGTTTGATAATATGCTTATTATTTATGACATTGGATGTCTGAAATGGACTCACAAAAATATTTTTTAGCAACATTATGACTTAAGGATTTTTTTTGTGCTCGTATTTATTATTTTATTACTGATAAATAATTTTTAATTTATAAGTTACTTAAAGTATTCTTTCGTAAAAGTAATAAGACTTAAATGATAGATAGCTCATTTGAGGATATTCATAAATGGTGAGAGATGATTTTGTAAATAATATATTCAAAACAAAGAAACGAAAAAAATGACTTAAAAATGAATAATTTTGACCAGTTTATAAACACAAAGAAACATCTACTGAAGTGTTGATTATTTCCACTTATAGAGACTTCGTAGAACTTTTGTTTTTTAGAAGTTAACATTCAACCCAAACATCCTCGTCTATATATATTGAGTTTAGATCAGGCTCATTAAGGCTAGTTTGAACTAAAAAAAAAGCATTTTCCCCATATATTGGACATTTTGAAATAAAAACCATGTTTTCACATCTTTTCACATAAACTATTTACTAATGCAAATCACAAAGAAGTCTTTCAAGTTAAGATTCAATAAGAATCATTACAAACATCGGAATTCACCCACCATAAAGATTTCAAAGATATCTTGACTCTAAATACTCATGATTTCATCCCAAAATATAATTCTCAATTGTTTTTGTTTCTCTTTCTTCCGAATTAATTCCAATCACACACTTCGTAAAAAAGTAAATGAGAAAACTCACCCCCTCCGAAAAAAAGCACGGAGTATCACTGGAAAACACGCGATAAGGAACAACCGTCCAACACGCAGCATTAGATCTCAAAGAATACAAACAATAACCCCCCTCTTTTGGCAAAGTTCATCATCCATTACATGGTCAACAACTTCACAAACACACACATTTAGGCTGCAGCGGAAAACTGAGAAGCTGAAAGTCACAATTTATAAACAAACCTGGAAAGCTTGTGCTGAAAGGCAACCACATCACCAAGGAATTGGCTGGCCATCCCAGGCAAAGAATTTGCCGTTATCGCTCTGCTTCGCATTGTTGATGATGCCAAGAAGGTTTTGAACAGAAAATTCCTTCGTAAATAGCTTCTCTTTGGGGACATTTTTCTGAAAAGGTTTTGAAAGATCCGTATCCACCGTGCCAGGGTGCAGAAGAAGGCATATGATTGGATCTCTTTTGCGTGCAAATTCCACTGCTATAGTCTTTGTCACTGCAGAGAAGAAATGGGGTTATTTTCATTTGTTTGCCCAATATGTAGCACTAGGAACCATTTGGAACACGTAAAATGCCTGGGAGAGAAAATAACCCAGAAGCTAGAGGGGGATATTTGGAAGGAAATAATATGTACGTGGCACATTGAATCCATTTTAGAAGGAAACTAAACATGGCCCAAATGTGTAGACAAGGGTTAGACAAGGAAGAACAAATTAACTGTTTAAAATCCAATATTTACACTAGTAATCCATTGTCAGACCCTTAAAAGCAGTGAAATATGTTTATGTACATTCTGTTTTAGCATCCACATGAACTACAAATTTGAATACTAGAAAATTCAATGAACAAATGCTTTGTCATCATACACTGATTTAGAGCAGCCTTTGAAGACCGATACGAGTGCCACCCTCCTAAAGCATTGTCTTCAATTGATCCCACCCTTGCACTTAAGTTGGCAACGATAGCAAAATCCCTCCCAGTTCCACACCCGCCTCCTGCCTTCAGTAAAGGCCACATGTGCTGTTCATGCAAAATTTGTAAATAACTAAATACTCCGTAGAATATAATGTGAATCGTGTAATTAATACAGGAAATTAATACAGCAAATGACTCCAAACAAAAGATTGTTGTTTAAGAGGATAACTCATAGCTGCAGAAAACAAATGATAGTACCTTGATAACCAAGATAGGACCAACAGCGTTGATATCATAAGCGAGAAGCAATGATGACCTCTGAACTTTGGTCAGTGTAGTTTCTGTACTGAAAATTTTAGAATAATATCGCTCACATAACTTTGTCACTACCAGTATACGGAGTATGAAAGAAAGCTCTTGATCTAAAGAATGTGGTTTTGCCCATGAGCTAGGGCAAGAGATTATTATCAGTGGACCAGTGGCTAATATTGATGTTTATCAAAAGCATGTAAATGTAACAGAAGACCCAAAAGTACCTGGAAACAGAACGTTTGGTATTGAAAGAATGCCAGATGCATTAATAAGAAGGTTTAGGGAGCCGTATTTGTCTCTAACTGCATTTGCAGAAGCCTGCAGTTTGGTATTTGTCGTCATCATCATTATCAACACCTTAATCCCATCTATTTTAGGTCGGTCGCATGAGATCTATAGTACAATACTAATGACTTGGCATTTTTGTATGATTTACTACGGCTTGTGCAAAAAGTCCTAGTACCAACAAAACTCAACTAGTAAGTTCAGTGGCAATTGTGTGTATAGATTTTTTCCCCTGGTATAGGCTAAGGGTTGAGTTCTACTTATGCCCTTAATGTATATAACTTCAATTTAAAGATTAACCATTACAGAAACCGGCTGTGAAAATCAATGCCTCTTTTATAATAACTCTATTATAGGGAAGTCAGTAAAATATCAACCATTTCCAACCTATTTGGTTGCATCAAACACGATGGCATATTGGCATCACATCTCAGTCCATGTTTCCCACTCATTGATTGTTCAACTGAGTAATTCTAAGGCTTTTAGTTTTACGTCTATCTAGAAAAACCAGAAAAGAGAATATCTTATACTGATAACAAAGTTATGGCTCAACTGTAAAGGGGCAAACCTCTATACTACTTTCAATTGTAAGGTCCAAGGGATGAATATCGAGGCGATCGGAGAACTTGTCTTTTAAATCCAGAAGTCCGGCTGCTCCATTAGGGTTCCGGCATGTTGCAACTACACGCCCTTCATCATTTCCCTCTAACAATTGCTTAACCTTCAACAGAAGGATTGAAAAGCAGAACGATTTTACCCAAAATTAAACACATTTAGTCGATTAATTAATTAACTAAAGAGACTGTTCTTACAAATTCAAGGCCGATGCCTCTGGAAGCTCCTTGGACCATCGAAACGCCGCCGTTCCAATGCTTGGGAGCGGACGAGGCGGCTCCCGACGTGGAGAAGGCGGCTACTGATGGATGCCTGGAATACGCCTTCGACATCGGAAAAATAAGGCGTCCGGCAAGGTTAATCAGATGCGCATTCATTTCGAGGTCCCTCGATTTTTTGTTTTTGCCGGGAATTGTGATCGGAGGTGGGATTTGTTCGTGGCGGTTTACAGACAGTTAGCATTCGCGGAGGTGAGCATTCCACGTAGTCTGGGCTTTTCTTCGGCCCATATTTGTTCGCCCACGAATTCTCGGCCTACTTAGATCTACAAATTTACGAGAAATTTATCTAAATAAGATTAAAATATAATGATTTTCTTAATATAAGACCATATGTTTTTATTTTTCAATATAGGATTTTTGGTCATTATTAATTAGTCATTATTCAACTAAATCTTCATCATTACTGGATATTATTCCTCCCACTAGACATTATTAAATCCGATTTAGGGAATAAAAAAATTTTAAGTCCTACATTGAGAAATGACTTATGTTTTAGTCCTATTTAGTGCAAATTTTACTAAATTTATTTCAAATACATTTGGGTTAATGTAAATTTTTTAGGTGGACTAATCTAGAATTTGCAAATCTCTTTAATAGGTTCATATTCATAGGTGTTAAACGTTGCATGTGGCCACCGAGGTGTCTGTCTTCCAAATGGAAGGGCACGAGTGCAATTTCATTGGCACCCACAATTTCTATGCTCAAAAAAAAATTTATGAATAAATGTTTAGTTTACAACATAATAGAATTTCACGTAAGTAGAGCCTGAAAAATAGATGTACGCAAACTTTAACCCGATTAGCTAGAAAAGTGTGTAGTTAGAGCTTTTCACTACAAGAAAAATAGTCTAAGCTAACAATTAAAAATTGTTGCTGAAAATGAAAAAAATCGTTGCCTTACATCTAAGGCAACAAAAATTGAGTGTTGCATTTGCCCTTGTTGTCTTTTCTTAAGGCAACAGTTTTGATACAAAAGGCAACAGTTTGGTGATCAATTGTTTAGAAGAGAACGAGTGCGTATGTGGTGAGCAAAAGAGATAAATTTTGATATACTCATCAGATATCCGATATCATAGATTTTCAAACAAAGGGTTTCAATATCTCTCAAAATTGAGAGATATCAATATGGAGGTTTGATATCTCTCTCAACCAATGATCATTCTCCGACACTCGCTACCATTGTCACGACCAACCATCCCCGTTGCCGGTCACCTCGGCCAGCCTATACTATCAATAATTAAATCATGATTTTAAATCTCTTCAAACAAGTTCGTTTTTAGATTTCAAAACGCATATAATATTTTCTAGATTTCAAAATGCATATCATTTCTCTTAAATTTCAAAACTCATATTTTATCATGGGCTTTAGAATATGTGAAATTTGCACTGAATAGGATAAAAACACAAGTCATTTCTCAATGTAGGACTTAAACTTTTTTTATTCCCTAAATAGAACTTAATAATGTCTAATGAGAAGAATAATGCCCAAGTGATGCTGGATATTTAGTTGAATAATGACTTATAGATAATGACTAATGATCCTACATTGGAAAATAAAAATTTATGGTCCTATATTGAGAAACTCATTATGTTTTAGTCTTATTTAGGTAAATTACCCTTAGAACATTTATTCTTATCAAAAATAAAAAAAGAGAAAAAATGGAACAATTGTTTTGGTGTTAGCATATGTATATATTTTGTATATTATATTCATTGACGGCGAATATGGACGGACGAACTTGACGGCGACGTGAACTGGACGGACTGGAAATCTGACGGAACTTTGCCGGTGAATATGGACGGACGAACTTGACGGCGAAACTGACCACTTGCAATCTTCCTCGTAGCCGATCGGAGAGGGACCAGGTACGAACGATGACTGTTCAGCACGAAGAATTTACACCAGGGACGGACGACGATTGAATCAGCACGACGATAGAAGCTTGACGGCGTAGCTTTGCTGTGATGCAATCGGCTCTTCTTTGAGTTTTACATATTTTCCCAAGAAAGAAGCTCTGATACCATGTAGAAATAGTTTATTTGGGTAAAACTTGATGCCATATTTCTTTGATACATATGGGTATAAATACACTAAGGTGATACAATCAAGGAGCCCGGGTGATACAAACGAAGAGCCCCGTCAATGAATATAATATACAAAATATATACATATGCTAACAGACTATCACACGCCCTGATATTTGTTATGCAGTACATGTCTTATCACAGTTTATGCAGGCACCCCGTTTAGATCACTGGAATGCTGCCCTGCGTGTTCTCCGCTATATAAAAGGTCACCCTGGTCAGGGAATATTGTTGCGTCGCGATAGTGATCTTACTCTTACAGCTTTTTCAGATTCTGATTGGGCAAGTTGTCCGTTGACACCGATCGGTGACTGGTTATTTCATCATGCTTGGTGGGTCTCCAATTTCTTGGCGCACTAAAAAGCAAACTACAGTTTCCCGGTCTTCAGCCGAAGCCGAGTATAGAGCAATGGCAAATGCATGTACGGAGATCCGGTGGCTACGTGGGCTTCTTGCTGCTTTGGATGTGCCGTGTTTTGCAACTCCGAGACTGTATTGTGATAACAAATCTGCCTTGTTCATTGCTGCTAATCCAGTCTTTCATGAACGATCAAAACATATCGATATTGACTGTCACATTGTACGTGAATGTATTCAGCGTAATCACATCGTCACATCTTATGTGCCTACACGTTTTCAGACAGCTGATATCTTCACAAAAGCTTTACCAGGTCCTCTTTTTCAGTCTCTCTTATCCAAGTTGGGCATTTTTGATATTCATGCTCCAACTTGAGAGGGAGTGTTAGCATACCCAAATAAACTATTTCTACATTTGGGATGAATAAAAAAGGAACTTCAATTTCTTTTTGGGAAGAAGTGTGTGTGTATATATAGTGATGTACTACCTCCGTCCCTGAGTATTTGTCCAGTTTTGACTTTTTTCGATCAACTGTTTTCAACCTTTGACCTATAATTAAATAGAATATGTATTGTATATTAATTAGATAAAATAATATTTAGAAAATATTAGATATAATAAATATAAGAAAACTTTTTTTGTATCAATATCTAATATCATTTTTATTTAATTTGAGGTCAAAGTTTACCAATTTTGACTGAAAAAAGTCAAAAGTGGACAAATACTCAGGAAGGGAGGGAGTACTAGGTAGCAAGGTTGGATGATCATATCACTCCACCATAAATAATCAATCTCACATGCATATAGACATTGCATAAATAGTACTGATCAAATGTTTATATATCTGCTTTATGTTGAATTGAGTTGCAAACTTTATTAACTCACACAATTCAAGTATATATTGCTTCGAGTAGCTAGCAAAGCTTAATTAAATATTAGACGACCGTATATATATACCATAGTTGTGATCGATGGGGGGAGCCGGGCATCATGACCGTCGTCGTCGTGATCTCTTATTCTTTATTATTATGGTGATAGTAGTGATGAACCATAATAATAAGAATAATGGAGGAGGAGGAGTAGGGGTGGACGATCTGAGGATGGATTACTATGTGACGGCGGGACGACGGTGTCCTTTGGCGGATTTGGTCGTTAGGAACACCGTGAACAGCCACTTGCAGGACGATCCTACCCTCGTCGCTCCTCTTCTCCGCCTCCACTTCCATGACTGCTTCGTCCAGGTGTTGCATGCATGAACTAAAATTTATTTGAGCAATTTACTTAAATAACACTAAAACATAATGACTTTCCCTAAATAGCACCACATGTGTTTTTCTTCCCAATGTAGCACTTTTAGTCATTATGCGTTAGTCATTATTCAAGTAAATATTCGCCATCACTGGACATTGTGGACATTATTAAGTGCTATTTAGGGAATAAAACAGTTTAAATGCTATTTAGAGAAATGACTTAAATTCTAGTGCTATTTAGTGCAAATATTTCAAATATTTTTTATTTTTCTCTTTAATTTTTTGTTGTTGTTACGTTGTTGTTAGTTGTTATATATGTGACGATGATCGAGAAAATATCATAATAATAATAATAGGGGTGCGACGCGTCGGTGCTGATAGATTCAACAGAGGAGAACAAGGCGGAGAAGGACTCGCCGGCCAACTTGAGCTTGAGAGGTTTTCAAGTCATTGACGAGGCCAAGGAGGAGCTCGAGAAGGGATGCCCCGGCGTTGTTTCTTGTGCTGATATCGTCGCCATGGCCGCTCGAGATGCTGTTTTCTTTGTAAGTCCATCTCACATTATTTAGTTTTGCATGAACAAAATTTATACTCCATGTATACAAATAATTTAGTTACGGAGTACATTTATTATCTTATTTAAAAACTTTCAAAATTTTATTTCATTATGAGACCTTATTTAAAAACTTTCAAAATTTTATTTCATTATGAGACAGAGTGATAATATATTAAATTAGTTGTATAATGTGCATAGGCTGGAGGACCATATTATGAGATACCCAAGGGGAGAAAAGATGGAAGGAGATCGAGAATTGAAGACACCATTAATCTCCCCTCTCCCACTCTCAACAGCTCTGACCTCATTGCCGCGTTTGGGAGCCGTGGCTTTACCACTCAAGAAATGGTGGTCTTGTCAGGTACCAAAACTCCATCTTTGATTTTTGTTAACCATTTTATTTAAACTTTAAAATTAAAATTATGTTCATTATTTTTATCGAATATAATTATGTGCCACTCTAAAAGTGTGTATATCTATACACTCCCTATAAACAATATTATACTCTCTCTGTCACTTAAAATGATTCCTATTTTGACTTTAAGCCAAAATAAAAATGTACTTCCTCCGTCCACAAATAAACTTTACATTGCATGTTACGATATTTGACTGAAGTTATTTTTAAATCATTTTATATGAAAAATGGTGTAGAATTGAAAAATAAAAATTACATAATATTAAAAAACTATATCAAAAGATCTACAAAACTAGAGTTGACATGACTATATTATTTTATCAAATGGGTGACGAAAATTGGCCAACAAAGTGAATAAAGTTTGACCCTGTGAATAGTGAACGTTAAGTTTATTTGTGGACGGAGGGAGTATATATTTATATTTGACTTTTTAATTATAATGTGATAGGTAGGCAAAAAAACTAAGGGTAAAAGTAATTTTTAATATAAAGTGGAAGTCTTTTGAGCGAGAAAAACAAAACAAATGAAAAAGAATATTTTAAAGAACGAATGGAGTATGACATTTGTAAGATATGGCACAATCCTCTTTCAAACTGGTACTTATTTATCAATCAATTTTATGTCTAAAATTTAATTGTACCAAATCGTTTGAATAGTCATAATACGCTACTTTGTTATGAACGTATCTATCGAAAAGGTATCCACCCTTACGCGCCCCACTAGTTTTTGTCCATTTTTATTTTGGCACATACTACACATGCATGACTTGTATTAGGTGTATAGCTCAAATCTTACAAATTCAATATCATTAAGTTTTTTATACTCCATAGAATTTAAGATGATAAATTATATGATTGAGATTCATTTATGCAGAAAAGAGAAGTTATACGAACTATTATTACTTTCTTGAAAAAGAATATAAATTTATTTCAAAACAAATAAAGAAAAGAAATTGAAAATTTCAATTTGGAATGGAAGAGTGTGAAGTGGATTGCATGACCGAATATTAAAAGATCAATTTGGACTTTGGGAGTGAAAGTGGACATATCATTTGTATAACCAATTGTGGCACTACTTGCTTTAAAATTTCAACTGTCTGCCACCTTTATACCCAGTGGCATTATTTGAGCAACATTTATTTTAACGATAGTATTTAATGGTAACATTTTCAAAATTAGACTACACTCTTAAAATTTTATATACTGTAATACTTTAACGCTAATCAAAGATTGAGTATGCGCCTGTATGAGAATAGCGATAGAGATTAGCCTTAACATTTTAGATAAAATTTTAACATTGCATATAATTTTGAAAACGCTAACACTAAATAGTATGTCAAAAGAATGGTGTGGTTAATAGTATGTCATATGCTACTCTACGGCACAATTTCATATTTGAATTACACATTTTTTTAAAAAAAGGTCAACCATTAAAGTAGTAGTGCATTGTGATGTGCAGGCGCACATACCCTAGGCACGGCGAGGTGCGCATCATTCAAACAGCGACTGAGTGGCTCCGGCGGGACCCACGAAGTGGACCCCACAATCGACAGCCGCTTCGCGGAGGTGCTGTCGAGAACATGCAGCGCCGGCGACAGCACAGAGCAAACATTGGATTCGACCAGGAACGAATTCGACAACGACTACTTCAACGCGCTACAGGGAAAGAGAGGCGTCCTTTTCTCCGACCAGACCCTCTTTGCCGGGCCAACCACACGGGGCCTGGTCAATGGTTACGCTATGAACCAGGCACTCTTCTTCTACCATTTCCAGCTAGCCATGGTGAAGATGGGTACGCTCGACGTTAAAGAAAAGTCCCAAGGAGAAGTCAGACGAAATTGTCGTGCAGTCAACAGCTGAACTTCCACATTACTCAATATATCGCGTTACGGCCCGATTCCATGGCCACTGGATTCCAGTGGCCACAGAAGCCACTGCCCCCTATGGAGCTCTGTTCAAAAAATTGATGATTCCTACCCCCCGGTAAACCCCCCGCCAAGTCCTGACCCAAACTCATTCCCCCACCTACGTCAATTGCACCTCGTAAGCATAAAGTCAAAAGTTTTGACTTTAAAGTCAATTATACTTAGGAGGTGCAATTGACGTAGGTGGAGGGATGAGTTTGGGTCGAGACTTGGAGGGGGTTTACCAGGGGGTAGGAATTATCAATTTTATGAACGGAGCTCCGAAGGGGGCAGTGGCTTCCGTGGCCACTTGAATCCAGTGGTTATGGAACCGGGCCGATCACATTAACCTTCATTCAACTTTTGATGTATCACAAAAGTCAATTAAATGTGGATGGAGAGGGATTGCTCTGTTTATGTCATCAATAAAAGTAGTCCTTAAAAAACTGCATCATTCTTAGTTGTAGCCATGAAATATATTATTGTACTAGATTTTTACAGTGTGGTTGTCTAAGGTTATTGGGTTGAAAATGGCTGCAATTTTTTGGGGACGAAAAGTACATGGTAAAATCCCATTTCAGACAAATATGCATATCAAAAGGGATATTTGCAAGCACAAATGTCACAACTAGTTTTCAAAACAACATAAATAGATCCAAGCACACGACTCTTCAGGGGCAGTGAGAACGAAAAACTACAAACCTCAATGCCCAAAGGAAGAAGTCCTTCCCATTATATCCATGAAATCTGGTAGACTCACTTCTCCATCACCTGCACCGACATTTCAGAACATATTAATTCGACCATTCAAAGAGAATCATCAGCAAACTATGACAACAATGCCAAGCTTACCGTCTTGATCGGCTCCTTGAATCATCAGTGCTATCTCCGCATCACTGAATTGTTCCCCCAACTCCCTGGAAATTTTCTGAATGTCTGCTGCAGATATTTTCCCCTGCAATTTGAAATAGTTTAGATTTGAAAAACAACAGTGGAGGGAGTGGAGAAAGAGAGGTAAATACGTTGTTATCTTTATCAATAATGTTGAATGCTTTTGCAAGTTCTTCTTTCGTATTTCTTTCGCCAAATTTATTACTCATCATATGCTCAAACTCCTCGAAATCAATTGCTCCACTTCCATCTTTGTCAACTTCTGCAATCATGCGTTTGATTTCCTAGCATTGCAAATTAGAAGTTAACACTGGTCTTCTTATCATTATACCCATTTGCTTGTAAATTCAGGTTACAAGCCACTCCATTACATTTATGAGTCAGTTTGGCATTGCTGTTGTAGTGTTGAAACTTTTAAAAAATAGTAATGTTTAGTCGTGCCGTGAAAACAAATTTTTATGATATATAATGTTGTGAATACTGAGGTATAAGGAATTGATGTGGCATAATAGAACTCAAAATTGGGTCGGCGTTACCCAGCTGGATCATAATGCACATGTGTCAAGCAACACCAATAAACTGAATCCAGTTAATCACCAATTCTAACCCAACATATTAAAACCTCACAAGTCTCTTTTTCAAAGTATAAGGGCCCATAACAATGCCAAACTGGTCCTAATCACCACACAAATAACCACGAAACCACTGTTTTTAAAGATAGTGGTATAGTACTCCGCACTAAAGTAATGCATTAAATATATAATTACCTCCTCAGTTGCTTCAAAACCCAGAGCCCTGTGGTTAAACTATGTTATATTAATCTGTTTTTCTGTTCATTGATAACAGCAAAATTGTATGGAGTACTAATTTATACTATATAAAAAAAACTATACAGACCTCATGGCAACATTGAGCTCCTTAGCATCAATTGTGCCTAGATGACATCATGAAAGACATAGTTGACATAGAGTTTCAGGATATCTTAGCGCATTAGGTTATTAAAGAGATTGTTACAATACCGGAGTTGTCAGTATCAAATAGCTCAAAACATTCCCTTATTTCTTGTCTTTTCTGTTGTGTTAAACCATGATGTCGTGCTCTGGGCTTCTCTCTCCTAGAACGGTTGGCCTGTAACATATTGTAATTCCAAAGTAGGTACTACAAATGGATGAAATGAACAATGAACCAAAACACTAAGTCTGTACAGATTGGTGGATGATGCAGAAAATTTGGTCTGGAAAGACCTTTATGGTTTCACCGTTAGCAGATTAATAAACAAACCAGTTTAATCAAAGTACAAAACAGAAACAATGACATATATGATACGTAGTACTACATAATAACATGCTTTTTGAAGTTCAGCTTAGATTGCTAGTTTGTTGTTATCCCAGCATAATTTGTTGTGTTTGATTTGGTATCCTAGAAGGAATTATGGTACATATTCTATCAATTGTCACTCTAAATTTTGATCCCACTCATTATGGGACTCGCCATTGGACATGTTAATGGTGTTGAAAGAACAAAGCGTTGTTAAGAATAAGGTTGTGTCTACTTGATGATAAAATAAAGCCAACAAGATGTTACCAATGCAAAAAGACTCTTAGCTTAAGGACTTAAACCCATCAAATATATTTTCCCCTAGCTAGCTAAGTTAAATTCTCAAATACTGAATTGTGAATCATCCAGAAACTTCAATTGAATAAAAAGTACCGATCTGATCTTGAAGAAAAGGAAAAACATGTTACCGTCGTGCGTTCTTCCAGATATGTCTGCGATCAAGTAGATTCAACAGGGAACAAATAATAATTAAGATAAAAAATCATCACAAAGTAATCAAACGCGGAAACGCTTGCGAAAAAAAGTGAGTACGAATTGATCAGGAATTTTACCATGGCGTTCTGAGCGCGAGGGGATCTTGCTGCTGTGATCGAGGGAAATGCTTGATTTTAGGGATTGCTACTTCGTGAGGTTTTCACACAGTAGTTTCCTGTTTGGTAAGTGAAGTTCAATTTTGAAATTGTACAGAAAAGGTAAAAAAATTAATCTATTTTGCCACTTTTACTTCTCTATCCTACTTTGGCTCGCATATGGAGAATTGCCGGTTGTTGGGCTTGGAGTTCAATGTTGTTAATTTTTTGTTTATTTCTCGTTCAAAAAATATTATTGCTCATTCTTTGGCTAGGAAGGCGGAGATTTCATGTGTATGGATTTCCTCCCTTCCGGACTTTATTTTGTCTAATCTCATGAATTAATATTATGTTTGTTTCAAAAAAAAAAAGAAATCATTTTCCCAATAATAAAAGGGGAAGGTTCCCATGACATTGGGAACCAATGTCATGGGATGACCCGGGGCACTACGGTGTCCCGTTCGTAAAATTGACGGTTCATACCCCCAAACCCCCCGGCAAACTCCCCCCCACCCTGCCCCACCCCGAACAAACCCTTCCACCCCTTCCAATTGCACCCCACAAGTCGATTTTGACTTTGGAGTCAAAATTTGAGATTAGACCAAGGTGATAATAAAAGTAAAAGAAATGAAATAATTTCTTCAACCAAACCCACTCTTAATTAATTTGTGTTGGATTAAATTATTTGTACATCAAAATTTGTATCTTATAATTCATAAATATTTATTGACATTTCAAGTTAATATGATACTAGTGTAATGGTTTGCATTAATAAAAAATATCGGTGCAATTTTTTTAATCAAACTAATACTCCCTCCATCCACCATAGATCTTCCCGATAGCCCTTTTTCTTTGTCCACAATAGATCTTCTCATTTCATTTTTTAACAATTAAAATACCACAACTACCTCCACTTACTTTATTTATTACACCTCACCCACCTCATTTAATACACTCCACCCTTTTTTCATTAAGGATATTATAGTAAACTTTCATCTTTTTTCAATTCTCCTTAAAAATCACTAAAAGTCAAAATGAAAACATCTTAGGGGGACGGAGGGAGTATTTTATTTTGTGCCAAATCCTTAAAATGTCGGTTCATGTACAATTTTTTACTTAGTCTAGCATGGTTGAATTGTGTAAGGTGATATGTCCACATTTTAATCTTCCATGGTGTTTGACCGATACGCTATAGCACAGCGCATATCTGCACGCCCGGCGCACATCTGCTGCTGAACAGTGCGGAAGGAGCTAGACTGAGAGGTTCTATTGCGGAGCGGATCGGATACGAGAAAAAATGGAGAAGATGAATCATGCATTGGAGAAGATGAAGATGCTCGTGGGAATGGATGTGGAAGACGTCGAAGGAGCCGCTAATCAGCAGCAGGACTCCTCTTTCGCTTTCATCGATGACTTCAATCGCAACTGCACTCTATCCACCAAGCAGGTTAAAATCGACATTTTCCAGTAATTTGGAGCATTGCATTCATATACTTCTGAATTTCAAAATTTGTTAATTCTGTTTTGATTGCTATTACTCGAAGGAGATGCTGGATCGGCATGAACTGTGGCATTTCGAAGCATGACAAATGCAGTTTTACTGCTATGGTTTTTGTTGCTGTCATTGTTTATGCTCCCTTATCAAATACTCCGTAGTAGAGTGTTTTCAATTTTTGAAATCTACAATTGCTGCATTGAGCAGCTGCCTTACCGATCACTGAGCAGTAAGCATAAGATGAGAATTAGTCTAGTGTGGCTAGGATTTTACTTTCAAGTGTCACTTGAAACTACTTCAGCATATATAAATTATTAGATGATATATAAGTATTTTTTATAAAATTATAGCTCGTGCTATTCTGTTATGTTAATAAAACAAATGAAGTACTCCATATTATACTATGGCTCTATGAGGATCAGTAACTTTAGGACTTAGGAGCCATATTAAGAAATAGAGAGATCATGTAATTATATGATGTAAATCAATAATAGGGAGACAAGGAAAAAAATTACGGGTGGAGTGTCGAGTTGAATGATTGAGGAAAGGACAGATGTAGACAGAGTACGATATGAATCCTGGACGTACTTTTTTCTACTAACCCACTTCTGTGAGGCTTTTAAATGGTTACATTGTGAAGGCATTGGAAAATAATGGGTTGATCACATGAATGTCTCGTCAGCTCTGAGTTGATTTTTAACTCATTTCATAATATTTTTCCAGAGGCTCTATGGTTTTGCCATTTGCTTGGCTGCAGGTGTTGCATGTACATTCTTGGTGAGTTTGTTTTTAGTTCTCAAATGTTTCTTGTCTCTTCCTTTTTACTGACTCTAGTTCCCCTTCTAAGTTTTATATTCAAGTGCAAGGCATGATGTTATACCTGAGACCCGGGGTATAATCAAGTTGCTATTTGAAGATGGAATTATGGGATGGTGAAGAGGAAATGAGGGAGACAAAATATGGGGGTGGAACAAAGAGTTGTTTTTTTGGGTTTTTGATGAAAGAAAAGAATAGGTTCAAGAAGAAGAAATGGTGAGAAATGAAATTGGCAGAGGTAAAGTGAAGGGATAAACCAAGTTGGTGTTTAAGAGATATTACACACTCTTATCTTAACTTGGGGTTAAGTCTAGAACTTAATTAAGATATAACACACTTAATTAAATATCTAGAACCTAAAACTCACACTTAAGATAACCACTCTTAAGATATAGATTTAGGAATTTAAATAGCAAACACAACAAGTGTATTACTAAATGGAAAATGGAATTACAATGTGAGTCTCACAAAATGGCCTAAGGCCGAAATAAATACACACACATAGGGGGGAAACTTCCCAGAAACATCCACTCACAAATCACAAGAATAATATCCATTTGTTTATGTTTTCTTAATGGAATGAAATCAGGGATTTGGTCTTTGATTTTCATGGCTGGTGGCTTGTCCTTTAGTGAGGAAAATCACAAGGAAATAAGTGATGATTCTTGGGAAATAATGGGGGACAAAGGGGTTGGTTTTATTGGCCTTATATTGGGTCATTCATGGAAGGTATGTGGGGACTGATTTGGTGGGTGGAGTGTCAANTTCAGCCTAGGTGGGAGACACAAGGGGGACAATGGTTGGTCAATGTTGGGGAATAAAAGAGGGGTTGTTTTTGGTCATTAAAAGGGGACAGGGCTGGGTATTATTTATGGGTATTTTGGAGTTATGGCTTTGGGTTACTGTGAGGGAAAACATGGGCAGGAAGTAGGGGCTGGAGGTGGGTCATGGTTTTGGCTCTTTGTGGGTGTTGTGTTGGGATTGTGAGGTTTATTTGGGCAGGGAATGAAAGGAAGGAAGAGAGGGTTTTACTGGTTTATTAAAAGGCTTAAAAGAAGGAAAATAACAACAAACAAAAAGGTTTTGGTTTATACACTCTTATTTTTGGCCATGGCTAAAATAAGAGTAGGAAAAACTTTATTTTGAAAAGGAAATATTTTGGATGTTTAGGGAAGGTATGGGGAGTGTGGGCTCAGCCTAGGGTGGGTGTAGGACAACCATGGTGTTGGGTTGGGTTCTAAGACAGGAAAATGGAGAAGTTTCAACCCAATTAATGTCATCACACTTGGGCTTTATTCCCCTGATCCGTCTTTCCCCTGGCGGGCTACGGACGGTCTTCGGGCCTGCTCCCGGATATATATCACATGACGTGTAATCTTCTCATTACGGATAATGAGTGTTGTTGTCTATCTTAACAAAACTCATGCCTATTGAAACAGTACATTTTTTCTTAGTTTATGGAGGCGAGCTTGGAGAGTGTACATTTTCATAGTGTCTACCCACAATATATGAGTATTTCCTTGCTACATTCTTTATTGGATGTACTCGTGAAAATGAGAAAACCATTTGTTTTTTGTTGTGGAAATGGGAATATTGTTGCGCAGAAATGCATCTTTGCCTGTCTACCAAGGAAATAAGAAAAACAATTACGGAGTACATTCTAAAGTAAAAAGAATTAGGCTGGCTCCTTGGGATCACGAGCCCGCCTTCACAGGCTAGTCCAATTCAACTAGACACCCATGTGTTTCTTAGATAAGTTTGTTTCTCGAACTATTGTGTTATGTATTTGGATGAACAATACATCTAACATGCTTTCTGTTTATATTTGTGACAGTCCATGTTGGTGTTTCTCCATCCAGTCAAATTTGGAATTACTTTTTCATTTGGCAATATGCTTGCACTTGGAAGGTCTGAGTATTATATTTTGATGCTATCCAAGCTCTCCTTGTAATTTTAAGTAAATTAACTCTTTCAGTGACATGAAACTTTCCACTACCATGATTGTTTTATATTGTGATTTTCTTACATTGAAAAGGCAGAATCATTGCCATCATACGAGACATATGAGATATGCTTGGATCCTGTAAAGTGCTAATTTGGGGGGGGGGGGGGGGGGGGGG